ACGAAGCTAAAGTTGTTCAGTGCTTCCCCAAAGACCTGGCGACGTGCAGATGTGACATCGCCATACAAAAACTGCTCGGAAGGTTATAAATCAAATTCAAGCGGATAACCAAATGGAAATGGTATTTACCATTTTGGCTTGGTATTTACCAATCCGTTCAAGCGATTGTAGTTATCAGTTTGGTTATAAGATCCGTGACGTCACGAATCAGCTGTTATATGTCATAGTTATCACCGCAAAATTGTGGTATTTACCCAACTCAAGAGTAGTTTTATATTTCTGGTTATTATTTGAAATGTGACAAGTTAGAATTTTGCCGGGTATTGGATATTGTTATTGTACTTCAGCTTCATTTTTGAGAAAATTGATACAGGCTGACTTCAGTTTTACCATAATGTGGAGCACCTTATTAGTTAAACTCATTACGGTTGTTGGGGACACTTTAAATGTAGTTCCTATGCTTAACAAAGTATCCTGTGTAGCCATAAACCACAAGAATATTAAAATATGGCCATATAAACTCACTAGATGATATCCACCTGTATACGGTTTTGCTAATTTCTTTTATCATCATTTCTGCTGAATCAATAAATGTTTTCTTTGACATGCGGAAAAATTTAGAGAATTGAAAGTTATCATAGCTACAAAGCCATGGTTCTATCATTAAAAAAAAAATCTGAAAAAACATGTCTCCCATGAATATTATGAAAGGTTTCTTATTTAAACTTTCCATATACAGTTGTAGACGAAAAAGCACCGATTATTAAGTGATAATAAAAATAATCAGAGATTATATACGCGCTTTTCTAAAATAAACAACTTGCAACAAAACCGCGGTTAAAACCAACGCGTTCAAGCGATTCGAGTAACTGACGTCACCATCCCGTGTGTCATCTTGAACCATATTATAACCGCGGTACATAATACGGAAATTTTGGTTATCCGCTTGGATTTGATTATTAAGTAAATAACTTATATCCGACAAAATGTCAACTTGCTGACTAGATAGCTCGTATTATGCAAATAATTAATTCCGCTCTTGCTCGCTATGAGCTCTGTGAGCGTCACCAATGGAAGACGACACGCTGCAATACAGAGATGTGAGAGAAAAAAAATTGGTTGAGTAGCAAGAACGCATTTGGATTCTGTGGGTTTTGGTCTGTATCTGTATAAAGTCGGTGATATTTGCTATGTGAGAAAAGTATACTGAGTGACAAAAAAGATAAACACCTAGGTACGTTTATAAGAATTAACGTTTACCACACCGTAGGAGTTATGGTATGGGGTGCTATTGCTTATGGTAGCAGATCACTAATTTTCATCAGAGGCAATATGTCAGCCAGACGCTATATTCAGGAAGTAGTGGAGCCCATGATAGGTCGCAGGCTTTTGAATTTGCAACACCCTTCACAGACTTTAGCAGCTCTTAATCATGCACTTGCATTAGCCTGGAATGAGATACTCCAACAGGATATCAACCACCTTATTAGCACAATGCTCAGGCGTGTCAATGAGCCTATAGGAAATCGTGGATCCTCAACACATTATTGAACCAGCTTCTGCAGTCAGTTGAATCAAGCTAAAAATTTAATCATTTTACTAGTAAGGACACAACATATATGCCAATTTATTAAAATCGGAAAAACATATAGACATAGACAGGTTATTTTTGTTTTCCTTTCTGAAGAGAGGTTATTCTCAAAGTTATAAATTATGGTTGTCTCCATTTTTTGCGTTTTTAAAAACTTTGAGAAGCATTAGGGGAAATCACCATTTCGCTCGCATTGTGTGTTAGTTGTAATATTCTTCACAAACCTGGGATTTTCTTTTCTTATCTCTTTCATTTTTGAATATACATATACACGTACATTATAAGATACAAATAAAGCAGTGTTTTATTTGCCGAAAAAGAATTAGGTTTTGTATATTTACTTTTTGAGGTGTTAGAGTCAAATGGAAACAATTAGAGGATATGCGTATCTCAATTTGAACAAAAATTTGTTTGCCCTCATATATATGAGATGTAGAACACATATAATGGCTAATGGTGGACAATCTGAATACCTGTTCTACTAAACATAATAAACAATTTCTAACATGAAGTCAATCCTGCCATTACTTCTTATTTGCATCTTAAAAGTAGTTTTTTGATATTCTAGAAAATTGACCAACCAATAATGAAATTTCTGTAAAAAGGAAAGTAGCAAAACAAATTTTGGACAATAGTACCATTGCTATAATAGCATTAAATCACTATTTTTTAAGTATATGGCACAGTAATCTTAGCCCATTCTTTCGTACTACAGGGTGTCAAAGTATAAATTTGTTATTAATAGAAATGTTGCATTAGAATATTTCTCAAGCAAGTTTTGCTACATAAAAGTATAAAACACTGATTTTGATAAAATTGTGAATACTTTGAAACAAACCCAGCTCAAAGAATTGATATTTTTTGTAGAAATGGTAACAATTCAACAAGACCAGTGTCGAATTTTTGTTAAAAGATAATTGCTCTATACAGGGTGTAAATTTCTCAGTGGATTAACAGAAGTCTGATGATAGAAGGCCCCAACACCTGTCGAATGAACCCCCAGATATGTAATTTGATATTTTATTTCACAAGATATTTGCAATTTTGTGATACCTGATTGAATACATTAATGGTCTATTTAATTTTGTGATACCTGATTGAAAACATTAATGGCCTATTTAAGAGGGAAATTCCTAAATAAAATAGTATCGAAGAATGATTTTTCTATGACTTAAAATATATTTGTACAAAAACAATAACTCATAAAGCAACAATGTTACAGCCCAAAAGCCCTTTTCCAGTCCACTTTTTGGTACCAATACAAGTGTAATAAATCTATCTCCCCTTTTCAATTTAATATTCACTCGTGCTCCTTCTGAATGTTGTACGACTGTTGCAATGTCTGTTATGTTCTTAAAGTTGGTGGCATTTACTGAGCCAAATTCAACAATTCCATCATTTACCATGATGCCAGCATATTGGGCAGGACCATTTTCACTTACAATTGTCACTTTTGCAAATGGAATCTTGTACACCATTCCCTGTTCCCTAGTATTGACCTCCATTGATGTCTCCTAAAAAAGTGATTATTTATATAAGAATTTCCTTTGTGTTGATATGGAATGTTTGTCTATATGTAGCTCTTAATAAACTTATACACTGACCACAATACCTGGGTTGTTGAAGGAAGTGGCATACCATAATACCCCTGTAGTCCTTGTTCTATTTGTTTCATTAGATTTTTGTGGTCATTTTGAAGACATATTATCTTGTGTCTAGCATTGCGTACTTGGTATATATCGATAGATCCAATGGGAAAGTCATCACCGTCTACCAAAGGTTCATTCATACCTACTCCATTCTGTGTCAGGATGGTCGTTAGGCTGTCGATTTCCTTTTCAATCTTCTCTTTAACAGTCATCAAGTCAAGAACTTGCTCTCGAATATTTTCACGACTCATTTTTTCAATGCAACGGTTAGCCACTCAAATGAAAATATTTGTTATGGAAATTATATAGGCTGAAGCTCCATGATGATACTCAATATTCGACAACTCGATTTGTTTTTGTCTTGTCTGATTTGTCTGTGGTCTTGCTGTTTGCTGTTGCCTTAACCTCAGTTTCAATGGATCAAGATGTGATCCAGAAGCTTACGCACAAAACATATACACTGCATTCTGCATTGATTGCATCCAACGACGGTGAAAAAACACGGACCCTAGAGATGTTCCGATCCACGAAAAGTATCGATAGCATGTATCGTTTACGAAGTATCGGTACTGTAAAATATCGGAATAAAAATATCGAAACCATAAGTATCGAAACCCTTCGATGCACTGCCGAAAATCAAAGATGTCTTTTCTACATCCCTCAAAATAAGGTTTACTTTTTTCAACTGCATGACTAGATTGTCAAATACGTTCACTAATAAAAATAGGTAAAAAGACTTCACGATTGCATAACATACATCTCCCACCTAAACTCGATTTCACAAAATAGCTCCACAAATCACTTCTTACAGGAGGCAACACTATCATAATAATGTATTGTTTAAAACTATGATGTTTTATCAATCAATACTAAAAACACTGTGTGACATGTGTATGTAATTCCCCGAAAACGAATCCAACAGGGTTGCCAGGTCGTTTAGCTCAGTTTCCCCAGTCGAAATGTAAAAATCCCCAGTATTTTTCAAAAATAATCCCCCAAAAATACCATTTATTTGTTGTGGCATAAGTTTACGATTTGTTAGGTATTCTTGCATCTTAAAATATTTTTTGGGCGACATATTTTTAAAGGTAAAAGTATTTGCTTCTAATCGAAAGACAAATGAATAAATAACAAGTATATTGTAATTTCATTAATAAAATTTTACATAATAATACCTCCCCAGTGAAATATGTTTCCCCAAAAGAAATCTCCAGCAAAAATGTCCCCAAAATCTTCCCCATTGAAATAAAAGTCTCCTGATTTAGCAACCGCGGATTCCAAAATAAATTATGTGAGGATTATGTAGGATTGTGTAAAAGTAAGTACAACCATATTAATTTTTAATAACGCTTTAATCAAATAAGCAATGTGCGGTAATGTAAATTATCAATTAATTAATTTGGTGGTGGCTCTGTGGAGCTGGCAAATCATGATATTCAGTAGATGACGAAGATGCTGATGAAGGACTTGTCTTAGATTCTGATGATGTTCCAGGATTTGATTTACGAGCATTTGTGCAGTATCCACATTTTCCTGCCTTGAATCTCCCCATGTCGGCTTCAAAAAGTATTTGTGATATTTCTGCCTCGCGCGTTCGGAGCGCGTTGGATCGCCTGGTGTGGACTGCCTATTCAGATTCGGTTATGTGAATTTTATTGTTCTTTCTTTTTTTCGTTATTTTTATAAGGTGTTTCTAAGGCAATTGAAAAACAACTCAAATCGTTTTATGTATTGAAGAAAACAACAAAAATTGGAATTTCGTTCAAAATTCGGTTTACAGCGAGTGTTACGAATCAAGTGGTTGCCATGATGATAGGCGATAATTATCGCCTAGAATTACATAAATACCAAATCTTGTGACACGTGATAATTATCGTATACGACTTTCATCACTGATTTCAAGAATACGGCCCCTATAGTGTCGAACACGAACATCAAGCAAAGATCATTTCACATCTCTACTATATGTCAAACTGTCAACATTGTACCGTCAAATGTCAAGAGAAGCAAGACAAAATGTCAAATAGTCAAATTCAAAAATTAACGTAAAATCTGCTCGAAAGAACATTGGTAACCGACTATTCATAAGTATTTAAATTACTTTCTGGTAAAAATAGCAAATTTAGTTTAAATGATGGATGATATAATTACCTTTAATAAAAGCCTGCAACAGCGATACCAAGAATACCGAGAAGTGTTCGGAGGGCTTCCTGTTCCCTACAGAAAGTTGAACAAATGTTGGACCTTTTACCTTCAATTTACAGTAGATGTCATAGGATGGCAGGCCGTTTGGAAAATACCAAGACTCACTTGCGAATCTCTGTGCATTACCTTCCCTTCGTTTGTCTTGGTTTTGGTACTGGAAATCGATTTTGAAAATCTTGAGGCATTGGTGAGGGTACTGGCTGTGAGAGATGACATTGTTATTCCAGACATTCACAGAGTGCAATTGATTCAGTTGTGGGTGACGAAAGATCAGGATAAGTCTATAGCTTTAAATTTGGAGTCCACAGCTAATTCCATAGATATGCTGAGGTTTTTCTATTTGTATTTAGTGAGACCTTGGGATGAAGATGAGGAGTCAGATTGGGTTTCAAGTCATCTGGAGAGCAGACTGAGGTGAGTGTAAAAGTAAATTAAACGATTCAAGCAACTAGGTCGTTTGAAAATACTTTCTCAAGAGATAACATCTCTTTACCCATATGCACTGTGTGCCAAAATTAGCACCTCACTACTTAAGTTTTTTGTTACTTCTTGAGCTACAGATTCTCTTTATATAATAATAATAATAAAAAAATGTCTTTATTAGGCACATTATATAAACTACAACATAATGTGACCTCTACATAGGCGAAGTCTAGCTCTTGGCTACTCTACTTAACCTACCCAAATAATAAATTGGAATACTTAATCAAAGGAAACTTTGACAAGCAGCAAAAGATGCTTCAAAAGAATGAGCTTGGTAGCTTCCTGACATATATAATATATACACACATATATTACGTAAAAATAAAATAAAATGTAAGAATTAAAAACTAACTTTTCCACAGTTACTACAATGACAAATAAATCTGTTTCACATGCTTACGAAATCTGTTTACTGGCCAATCCTTTATATTGTCATCTAATTCGTTATAAATCAGGATAGCATTGTAAGTGTATGAACTACGAAATAAAGTTGTTTTATACATAGGGATCTCTAGTCTTTTTTTGTGTCTTAAATCAATGTCTGAATTATTTCGTCTGAAAACAAATTTCTCATAAAGATACAAGGGGGATCGAGAAGATATGATCTTATGTGTAAACACTGCTATATGGTACTTGCAAGCATTTTCTATACAGATCCAACCAAGCTGAAATCTCTTTAAGGAAACATGATCATACTTCTTGAGATTAAATACAAATCGACAACAAGTATTTTGGAGCTTTTGGAGTCATGCTTTTGTGATAAAATCAAGACAATGATAGAACACAGTGCTACTGTGTGTAGCTTGGAAATATAATAGCCTCACATAACTTTTTTCTAACTTCAAAATTGACATAAAAACACTTCAAAGTTGCATAACATTTTTTTAAGATAGGCGAAACATGCTCCTTAAACCGTAAAGTATAATCAATAATCAACCCTAAATTTTTTGTAGTATTTACGACAGCTAGATGCTCCTTGTCGATTTTTACATCAAGAGAATTCAATATAGTGTTACGTTTGACAGCAGGACAAAAAAGCATCACTGAGCACTTATCCTTATGGAGCTTAAGATTGTTACCATTTGAGTATCCTACTATTGCCTCCAAATCATCATTAAGCTCATAACTTAAAATTTATAGACTTCTTCAACCTAATAAATACCTAACTTTGTTATTTGGCAATCAGAACGTAACTAAAAAATGCAGTAAAATGATTATTGCATTATGATTCTCAAATTAAATTTAACAATATTCATCCGATAGGTTATACTATGATCTGAAGAGTGGTTCCATACCAAGAGCATGTGCTGAACATATACATTCATTGTTGACTCAAGCAAGAAGTTTGGCAAACAAGAGAGACTTCTTAAGGAAAAAGATAACTCGAGATTGCTTGGAAGAAGGTATGTTATGAAAAAAAAATATAATAGATTTATTACATTTTGCTTTATATCTCTTATTAGGATTTTATTAGCTGGGTGGTATGTTTTATTTATGTAATTATTATTGTGTGAAATAGATATTCTATTCACTTACTAGGTAGCTTTTTTTCTATAGTATCTGGTAAACAAGCAGCAAATAGCAATACAAGGTCTATCGCAATGTAAACATGACTTTTGAAAGATATCCAATACAAGTAGGGCCATCTATTATTGGAGATTAGCGTTGGATAGGTACATCTTTCATTGATGTCCTGTCAAAATTTCATGACAATCAAATCACATCACGTGGAGTTACTGCACTCAAAGTGTTAGTACCTTTTTAGCATCAGTCGAAAAATGAGCATTGAACAAAAAACCAATATTAAGTTCCGTGTTACACTTAGTAGTACATTTACTGAAACGCATTAGATAGGTCGTTTTTTTGTTGCCAGAATTCCATATGTCATAATAATATGCAATAATAATCAATACATACATAATATTTTTCGAGCGGAAAGAAAGCATTTTGTGTTCTTGATTCACAGATAACATCATACTAGCAGTGCATTATGGTATTTGGATACTTAAAATTATTTTTGACGCACAACTTTTCCATTGCAGCCAATCTTGATTTCAATTCTAATGGCCTTTTTAGATGCCTAAGGATCACAAAAACGACTGCTCACACAAAGTTAATGTTTTCGACCTCTGGAATTATCTTTTTACTTCCTGTGCCCACTGGCGGGGAAGTATTGTAATTGATGAGATATTGTTTTTTGGATGTTATATGACAGGGTGGCCAACTAAGAAAGCGAGGCACTGTATCTAGGAACCTATCCATCGTAGAGGCTCGCGGCAATTACTAAAACGGCAAAGAGAAAAACCTGGAAAGTATTTTCAAGTTTCTGAAATGGCGGCTAATCTAAGTGATGTTTCTGTGAATTCCGCTATGTTACCCTAACAAAAAAATATCTGTTCTTTAAATTCGAGGTTAATCTAAACGTTTTTTGTTTGACCATTTTTGCTGTATCTCTAAAAGTAAAGTTGTGGGGGGTATTCAAAGGTTTCCGTAAAAACACCCTGTATCTTCGAAACGGTTGAGCCGATTTTAACAAACTTGGCTAGTTCAAAAGAGCTATTCTTTTTCATAAAAAAAATCATTCAATTTTATTGAAAAAATTAACCATTTCTGTCGAAACACGAAGGAAATAAAAACCGCTCAAACTTCATTTTTTTTGTAGGGGTTGAGCAATATAGTTATACAGTTTTACGCACCTATCTACATATTTCACACATCGTAGATGTCCCCGTTCATGTGCCCTTAAAACTTTTTGTTATAGGTGTAGAGGGACTAACTTGTGCCAAACATAATCGTTTATGAACAATGTTGCGTGGGAAGTGCAGGCAACCTACTTGACGCCTTTTTTTAATTTCAGACTTGTATATGGATACCTTTACGAAAATTTACTGTGAGTTACTAGAACTGCAGCCTCATATAGATATGGCAGAGGATCCTCTATTAAGGGATTTCTTAGTAAAAAAACTGACCAATATGAGTTCGGGTGACCAAAGAAGTGAAGAAGAGACATGGATAATATATGATCAAGGCACAGCTAATGATTACATGAACTTTTTAGAGAAAGTCAAAGAAGTATATCCTACCGAAACATTTAGGTAACAATCTACTACTTACATGGCCATATTCTATGTTATTGTACAGAGTGTCCCAATGTTCCATGGACATAGAAGAACCACATTATTTTTAGACTAGAAATAAGTCTATTGGACATGATTTACCTTTGTGCGAAGGTGCTTCGTTTGTCCATCGGAGAGCGTCAAATTTTCCCTTTTAAAATAGATACTTTTGGAACCGTAGTCCGATTTGAATGAAATTTGGAACACGTGTTTTGTTATGTTTGACTTTTACAAAAAAAACCGAAAGGTCAAGGGAAGGGTGAAAACTACCCCTACCCCTATACAGGCTGTTAGGTAAACATGCGGCAAAAAAACAAGGACCTCGATTAAACCAACTTGGAGTCTGACAGTTCCTGTGTTGCTATAGACTTATTGTCAACATTTACATACTCATTAAATTTGTCTATATTCACTAAACCATTAATTTTCAATAAATCACTTAATAGAATTTCATCCTCTGGATTAAAATCGTTGACTATTTCAGTTATGTTTTCCACTAAACCAGCATGGCGAAAACAATTACGAATCGTTTCTGGAGTAACCAATTCCCATGCAATAGTAAGCATATTTATAGCATCTAAAATGGTAACAGCTTTGGTAATGTTGACATCTTGAAGCTCTATAATATTCATCAACATATACATATTTCTGATACATTTTAAGACTCCAAATGACACCCTGGTCCATTGGTTGCAGAACTAATGTCACATTCGGTGGAAAAAATTGAAGGTTGATGTTATTAAGTAAAATATTTGGATGAGCTGGGCAGTTATCGATCAAGAGCAAGATTTTACGATTTTCAGTTCAGCGTCCCACTTTTATAATATTCTTCAAAAATTGATGAGGTCATCCAAGCTTTATTACCTCCAACACAATCGACGGGATTGTTTTAACAATTTTGAAACACCTGGTATTCTTAAATTTCCCTGAAATAAAAAAAAGGTCATAAATTCTTTGCAGCACTGCCATTGATTATCAAAAAAATTAGAACATGAATTTCTATTCATTCACTTATCTATTATCAATAGTTTTCGTTTTTCAGCACAAATCATAACAGTTATTCGCTCTTTTGATAGTTTCCGTCTATTGCAAGTTTCACCTTTGACTCTTCAATCTCCTGATCAGTCGCCGTGCGCTGTGCGGGTTCTTGTCCCGTCCCAGGAGAAATTTTTCTCTTGGCTATGGATGTTGTGATTGTCCGTAGGTGGTAGATGGTCTCTGACTGTCGAACGCGGAGGTACCACCCGGCGGTTCTCGTAGGCGGAGCCAGAATGTGTGCATGTTGCGTGCACACGTGTTCCCTCGCCAGAGTCTGTGTGGCGTCCCCCCTTTCCCATGTATCCCCCTATAGCCCCACGGTACCCAATGGGTGCTTAGGCTTTAGGCCTTCGTGGTAGTTGGAATATAAAAAAAAATATATATTTGCTTGAGATGAACCCTGCTCAAGCTCTCTAATTATTGTGAACTTTTCGTGTAAAGTGAATGCACGTTTCGCACTTTTCGACATGTTTATAACTCTAATAAATACAGTATAACACTGGTGGCCAAGTTCGAATGCAAACCGCAAAGCCAAACCGCCGTAAACGATAGCATCAGCTAAACCTGCTTCGGGGAACTACCAAAGTAGCTCGCATATAATTATTATTTACGGGTTTCCATTATAAGCAAGTTCATTATAAGTGGATTCCACTGTATTACTAAAATTTAAAAGGTGATTTAAGAGAGATCGCGGAGAGTTGCCAAAAAGCTTGAAACAGCTGTCCACGGTTGGCTGTCTTTGGTGGGATGGACGAAAGCAGCACGCTCAATGGTGAGTAGACCATATCAGATAGTTAACCACAGTATCTTGCTAAGAAAAATGAGACTTTTAGGCTTCCCTGACATTATGGTGTCTTGCTTTGTAATTTTTTTTATAGACCAATAGGTGCGGATAGGCAGCGCCAGGCCTCGCCATATCAGTGCTTCCTCTAATGACCCTGAGGGTGGTCATTGTTCTCCGTGACTCAATATTTTTATAAATGACAATTCAGTTTGTTTTAAAAACAGTAAATTTTTATTATTCGCGGATGATCGAACATATTATCGAGAAGACGATTCTGGGCAGGATTTGATTTTGTTTCAAAATGACTTTACAGGCTAAGCGATTGGTGTGTTAATAATGATTTATCATTAAATATTGTTACTGTTTTATTGACGTCAGCAAAAATAATTATTCTTATGTATGCATATTTTGCGATCAAATGCATACGATGCATAAAAAATACAGTGTGACATGCGGTAAAAATTCAAGGGGTTATTCCTCGGCCTATTATAAGAATATTTTGTCCTATGATGATTTCTGAAAAGCCCCTTTGTTTCGAAGATACAGGGTAAACAAAAATTGCGACAACCGTATTCGATAGTTGTTGAAATCATTAATGTAAATAAATGTCATACGCCAATGAGTTTAGCAAGTACACAGAACTGTTGGAACGGTTGTTTCATCTACAAGCGGATATTATTTCAATGCGTCTCGTAAGTGATAATCATCGGTATCGGTCGCAGTTGTTTACATTGAATGAAGTTTGGCAGTTTGACATGTCTTTAATAGTTAGTGAAGCCATCTACCATGTATGATAACGCCGATTTGACTGACATATATTTCATGTATGGACTTGCTGATGGCAATTCATTGGAAGCTAGACGATTGTACATTGAACGGTTTTTCGGCTGTAATATCCCCGATCGAAGAATCTTCAAAAACATCGACGGCTCCGTGAAACAGGCACGTTGAAAAGAAATGCAATACGGAATTTTCATAACAATCATGTGTGATTTTATCATCAGTTGTCCTTGAATGTTTGGGTAGGAATTGTGGGTGACTATCTAATTGGGCCGATATTCCTACTAGCAAGATTGACTGGGAAGATTTATCGTAACTTTTTGGAAGAAACACAGCTCGAGATTCTGCAGGATGTACCATTGGCAACAAGAATTGTAATGTGGTTTATGCACGATGGTGCACCACGACATTTCAGTTTGGTTGCTCGTGATTTTTTTAGTAGCAACGTACGGAGGTCGCTGGATTGGTCGAGGTGGGCCACGCGTATGGCCTGCTTGATCCCCAGACTTGAACCCCCTGGATTATTTCTTATGCGGGTCTCTGAAGCCATTAGTTTACGCTGTAAGTCAATTAGAAACAACCCTGATGTGTTTGAAAGAGTTCGGCACTCAATGACGAGACGATCGAGTGCTTGTATCCAGGCTGGAGAAAGTCATTTCGAACATTTATTGTAGATTGAGCAACTTTACATGTACTTTTTAATCATAAAATGTTGTTACTGTCACAAATTTTGTTCACCCTGTATCTTCGAAACAATGGGGATTTTCAGAAATCATAGGACAAAATATTCTTTTAATAGGCCGAGGAATAACACCTTGAATTTTTGCCGCATGTTTACCTAACACCCTGTCTGAATTATAGCAGAATTTTTCCACAACTTTCTCGAAAATCCTTTTATTTACTTAATACCACTTCGCATAGTTTTCAAGAATAAAATGTTTTTCGGAGATAGTTTCTAATAAAATTTCTTATTTACATCAACTGTTAAAACTGTTAGTATAGTTGTAGTCACTTTTCTTGACGGGTCAAAGTAAGACTACCAGTATCCCTTTATATATCTCCATTTCCGTCCTACATACACATGCAACCTACCCATGTGTGTGAACGTTTGTTGGGTAAGCTCAAAGATATACCTTTTTTTAGTTGTGTGTCTCCGTCTCGAAAACTTTGTCGTTACGTAAGAGTGCCTGTCAATCATATTTGTCAGAGTGGCAACTTACTTGATATCAGCGAGCAATTTGAGGTGTCCTGTTATCAGTTTTCAATATAAAATTGTACAAGGTCGGGAAATACGATCAATGGAGAAGGCCGACAGCTTATGCTAAATTCTTTAGAGTATTTCCAGGAAGAGAATGAAAACAGCGGTCCCCTGTTACGCAATTCATGCGTAACAGCGGTTCCCTGTTACCCACTTCATGCGTACTGGCGAGAGTAGTCTGCGCCCATGGTACGGAGGCTCGATCTGTTTACTTATTTCATATGGCGTTGATGACGTAACGGCCAAGAACGATGACTACAACTAGAGACATCTAGTTGGCGGAAATGTAGGATATCACTTCGAGATTATCGATTCCAGCCTGTAAGAGTCAACGCTGGGAAACCGCGGCAAACCTGAACATCGCTAGTGGAAGAATTGTTCTTGAAGTGGTTAAGAAAATCCAGATATCAGCACTCGCAGATTGGAATACGAACAAGGAGTTCAAAATGCACTGTTAACTGGATTTTAAATGAACAACTCATCTGACTATCACTCACGTTTGAGACTTGTACAAAATGTATCAGAAGCGGCTGATGGGTCATTTCACAAGAAAATTTTGTTAACAGATGAATCGTGCTTTATCCGATATGGTATGATAAATTTGCGTAATACTAATATTTACGCTGAAGAAAATCATACAGTTTCAGAAAGGCATTTTTAATGGGAATTTAAAAGTAACGTTTGGATATGGATCATTGATAACTTTTTAGTTGGTCCATATAGGTTGCCTGATAAAGTAAATGGAGATAGCTATCTTTATTTTCCACACTACATTTTACCTGAATTATATGAAGAACTGCTTCTGAGTGTAAGAAGAGACATGTTTTTATGCATGATGGTGCTCCACCTCACTTTGCGTGTGGTGTAAGAAATTACTTGAACGAGAAATTTGTTGGTACATGGATTGGTAGAGGTCAAAAAGCTCCTATTCAATGGCAACCTCGTTCCCCGTATCTTAATCGTTGCGATTTTTCTGTATGGAAGCATTAAAAACAAAGCTATACTAAGTTCAGATAGACAACGCCAATCAACTTTGGGAAAGGATTCAAAATGCTGCAAATGCAGTAAGAAAAATAGAGAAAGCTAACTATATTTTTTTGCGCCGTATTATGTGAAGAAACGAAAATGGTGTTCCTATTAAACACATTTTACGAAAGAATCGAATTATTGCTTTATTAAAAAATTGTAATATGTAATATAATACTAGTTTATTTTCACTAACTACACTTGAAGAATTAATAAGACGCTTGGGCGTTGATGCAACTCCTTTTTTTCTCGGAACCTATCCGCGATGGGGCCTGTTTTTATACGAGTCGAAAAATGAAGTAAATAAAAAATCTACTAAATAAAACAAATTCAGAGTCTTCGGGAAAGCTGCAAAAAAAATCTGCTATAATTTATGTAGAACCCGTTTTTCGTAAAAGTCAAATATTAGAACGTTTAGTAAAAGATATGTGTTCAAAATTTCATTCAAGTCATACCAACGGTTGTAACGTGACAAAATCACGTGACCTGTTTTTACTATTTTGATCACTTACCAGTAACTTGAATTTCTCTTTATTAATGATAGAGTACCTTTTCATTGTTTTTTTTTGACAAATTTCATAATTTATTGATCTATTGAGCCCGAAACTACCTAATCCTGAAAGTATGATTTCACACATATTATATCTTTTTCTTAGCGACTCAGTGTTGTGTTGAAGTCTTGTCACTAATGTTATAATATTTTATTAACGACTATCTCAGAAATTTCCTCATAAAATATCGTTGGTCCCTCGTAAACTGATTTTTTGTGTAGGTTCGGTTACGAACTTTTCATCTCTGAAGGCGTCAGGTTTTCGGGATTGTTTTGGTTTCCTTGGGCGATAACTTCGTTATGTCGAGATAGAATATTAAACAGTTTGGTTTGGGAATTGGAGTTGCTCATTCGTTAGTATTTTTGGCATCGAATCTGTGGAGTATAGAATTTTGGAACGCCCTCCTTCTTTTGACATTGATTGACAGTCAACTGACGGACTGACGGAAGACCGGAAATTTGGTGTCGATCATTTTTTTTCTGCCGAATCCTTGGTTGAGAAGGTGTATTCGGCCCTTCATTTGATTTTCAGGTTTTGGGATATTGGGCCCCAATCACCAGTTTATGGAGTAGCACCTTTTTCTGTACCTACGTTTAGTTGTTTTGGTTGTTGTTTGGGTGCTACTCTCTCCATTTTTATGGGTTTTTAAGCTCTCAGGCGTGGGAAGGCAGTGAGGAAAACCACCATCTGCACTTCACCAGCTTTGTAACTGTTTTGTAGCCGATGAGAAACCACCACTTTCTCTTAGGAATAAAAACTCTGTTTACATCGGTTCAAAAAATTTCCGAAAAAATGTATTTCAGAAAGAAAACATTGACGCCCTCTATCGGACAAATAACGCACTTTTGCATACAGGTAAATCATGCCCAATCGACTTATTTTGAGTCTAAACATATGTGGCACTTTTATGAATATTGTACACCCTGTAGACAAAAAAATAATGCCATAAAAATTATTATTATTATTATTATAAGTTCCTATGAATAAATATTTTACGAGGCTCCCCTACGGCCAAATGGATATTTCTGGAACTCTGTTTTCACTAAATAACTTTTGAACGATGCGGTATAATTTAATGAATTTTTCACAGCACACTAACTAGTTATTGCCTCACATAATGATGTCTAGGGAAAATAATTAGCTCATCTATATCACCAGGAACGGCCTGGCCCTAACACAATATCCCTATTTTTTGGATAATATGGTTCAAAAATGATATTTTTCGAAAGCCTAAATCTGTGTGTGTTCGCAACATATTTTCGAAGCAACGCATTCAAGGTTTCTCTCTGATACATATAGATTACACAAAAATAATGCCACAAGTTTCTATGAAAAAAATGCCCTACCAGGCTCCTTTACGGAGATACGAGCTCCAAATGATGGTGTCTAAAGAAAATAATTAATTAGATAAAGGATGGGCCAACCTAATATTGCTTGTTTTCATCACAATATTCAAGCTGATGATGACATCGATAAAAAGAGCCATTTATGAGAAAACTCTTTTACTTCCTACGCCACTGGTCGTGGAGGGATTGTAATCGCAAATATTTTCAAAAATGATATATGTATTATGTTTATGGGTGTGTTTATGTACAGGGTAGCCACCTAAGAATGTCAGGTACTGCATTGGGAACCTATCCATCGTAGAGGCTTGAGGCAAAAACAACTGTCACTAAAACGGCCAAGAAAAAACCCGGAAAATAATTTCAAGTTTCTAAAATGGCCATTAGGGGGCGTAACTGGAGTACTGAATCTAAAAAAGTGATGTTTCTGTGAATTCCGCTATATTAACCTAAAAAAATACCTGATCTTTAAAGTTGAGGATCATGTGAACTTTTTTGTTTGACAAATTTTGCTGTATCTCTAAAAATAAAGCGCTATTCTTGGTATACAACCATATAGTATTTGAAGTTTTGTTAGTTTCACATGTGGCCGCTACAAGGCTGTTTTCGACATTCCGATAAATAATTAATTTTCTCAAAAAAATGCATTGGTATGATTTTTCTTATGAAAAAATAGCTGTATGATGTCTAAACGCTCGCGAAAACCGCATCTCGATATCATGTTCCTAACCTAAAATTTAGGCCAAAGAAAAGTTTATACGGAAAACCCTTTTTTTAAAATTAGAAAAAGTTCAATTTAAATAAATCCCTGTATTTGAATTGCCATTAGAACTAACTATTTTGAACCGTTGTTCGTGGTATGCCCAACTCAAGGAATAATGCTAACATCAGGCTTTCCTTCAATATATCCTAGTACGCGGTTAATATTTTCTTGTTTTCTTCCAATTCTTTGCCGTTGAAACGTAGGCTGAAAACTACCATTGGCTCGTAAACTCGCCGGAAATCTTTGAATACCCTCCGCCACTTTATTTTTAGAGATACAGTAAAATTGTCAAACAAAAAAATTCGCATTATCTTGGACTTTAAAGATCATACATGCTTTTGTTATGTCAATATAGCGAAATTCACAGAAATAATATGTTTTTGTAGCTAAACCAAGTGATTTATGGCGTATTTCTTGATTTAATATGGGAATTAGGGGCTCAGTTACACCAACCGTATATTTTTTTTGTAGTTTGAGACACATTTTACAAGTAGTCGGCCATATTCAGTAAATCTTCTTACTTCAAAGACGCCGTATTGTTTTTTGAAAGAAATCTGTATTTCTGTAATGATAGGTCATTTTTCTATGGGAACTTGGTACATTATTTTTTGTAGACCATAAGTACGCGAGAGATTGACTACTTACTCTGTACCCTATCTTAGGATAACAGACAGCTTAGCCGCAAAATTGGTGAACTGCAATTCAAAAAAAGCCCGTTTCATTCTGAGCGAATCTAAACACCATATCAACACAACTGGAATTCTGGAGGAAGGCGGAGAGTTGAGAGGTATAGGTTTGAGAGAAAATATCCAGCTATTATCTGACAGAGATGATATTATGCTGGACTTTAGTATTGGGCATACGGTAATAGAAAATGTCACAATTAATTGTGGTGAAGCACAGTGCGGAATTTTAGGTAAGTGCATTTTTAATTTTTCTTCTTTTAATTTCCGTCTGAGCGACTGGTTGTACACCAAACTTGTCTATATAGTACAACCAGTCGCTCAGACAGAAATTAAAAGAAGAAAAATTGGTTAATTGCTTGCACCGGTGGCTCACCAGTGAATTAAAGAATAAGCTTATATACAAACAAATCATGGAATTCATTGAAGAAACCAAAATTTTGATAAAAAACCATGCTGGATTTAGAAAAAAATGTTCCAAAGAAACGGCAATCCATGGTGGTGGAAGACTGGAGAAGAAGTATACAAGAGAATGAATATACTGTAACAATATTTTTAGACTTCAAAAGGGCATTTGAGATTATAGATAGGGAAAAATTGTTAATGAAATCGCGTCACTATGGCTTTAAAGTAACAGTATTACACATTTTACAAAATTATTTAGTAAATAGAAGTCAAAAAACTAAAGTTGGAAATATTATGTCAAGTATTCAAAATATATCAGTAGGGGTGCCACAGGGGAGTAACTTAGGGCCGTTACTATTTATTATTTATATAAATGATATCTCTGACATTTTAGAATACTGCAAAACTCAAATATTTGCGGACAATACACTTATATATATATACAGGGTGACTTCGAAGTTGAGTCATTTATTTTAACAGTGAGTAGACCTGATCAAAAGAAATGTTTTTTTCCTTTACCATTTTTCTGGTAAAATTAAAGTAACAAAGTTATAGCCCTTTGGAAGTTTGAGTACCGCCCTGTCTCAATAATAATATTATGTGCTCGTGTTTGGCGACAACGGATATAATTCGCCTTATCGGTTCATCGCATCGGAAACAAAAAAGCGAAAGAATTTGGAACGATGTTTTTACAATTATTTCATTCAGTTGTATACAGTCAGTGTCAGTCGGTAGTGGATAGTGGTGTCTGTTGCGTGGCTCAAACGAAATAAAAAATGGCACATGTTTATGCGGATCGGTTTCCCAATCGAGTGCAACCAACCCCTCGTGCCTTTGTTAATGTAGTACAACGGGTTCGTGAATCATTTGACTTAAGACCTCACATATGGACGGCATGCCGGTGCTCCAAGACCTCACGATCAAATACAGGTCCGCACTGAAATACTTGTCGGGAGGATACTTTATAAAACAAGGTAAACATTTTTTTTTATTTTTACACACATATTTTGGTTTATCTTCCTTCTACAATCATTATCTGAAAATTAATGACTCAACTTCAAAGTCACCCTGTATATAGCACATAAGCATCTGGACACTGCTTTAGAACTGTTAAATAGTGATATTGAAAAAATAAAGAAAGAAATAAAACAAAATGTATATATGTGAATAGGGAAACATTTAGGTGTCAATACAATTAGGCTAATGATTAATAATGAAAAAATTGAAGTAGTCGAGTCATTTAAATATCTTGGTATGTATGTGGGTAGTAGTGCCACTGTTTCACGAAAATTATGAGTACAATATTTCAAAAATATCGAAAAAGATAAGTTACTTCTATAGAGTTTCCCATAATATTATTATGTATTCCAAAAAAATTGTGTATAACACTATAATTCTTTCCCATTTTTTATATTATTCGACCATCTTGTTTACAGCAAATGAAAACATATTTTCAAAATTACAAATTCTACAAAATAAAGCTATGAGAATCATTTTAAATAAAAACAAATATGCTAGGATTAAGTCTATGTTAGAAGAACTGCAGTGGTTGGATGTGAAAAATTTCATATATTATTTAGTTCTCGTATTCAAATTAAAAAATCATTTATTACCACCACATTTAGAGAACTTCACGAAATTAAATAGCCATTATCATAACTACGAAACTAGAGGCAGTATAGATTTTCATCTGCAAAATTGTAACAGTAGCATAACTAGTAAATCTATATTTCATATGGGAGTATTTGAATTTAATAAATTGAATAATGATATTAAACAGAGTTCGAATTTAAAAATGTTTAAGGTGAAATAAAAAAATCACTTTATGAATAATCAAAATATTTAGTGACGTAATTTTAATTTTAATAGACAAGAATGTAAATTACAGAAAATGGATTGAAGAAAAATATGTAACCGAATCATTATACAAAATTGACATTGTAACATTAATGCTAAATAAATCTTCAACATCAACAACAAACACAACCACAGATGTGGTAGGCTGTGATCGATTTGCCCCAGAAGGTACTATCAATATTGTTTAAAATAACTGTTGCTGTTTTGTAAAAAGTCCGTTTTTGTCATAAATAAATAACTTAGGTATTTGACTGGTCTTCAAATTTTTGTGTTCTAAAATGTTACACATTGTTAATGTTAATCAATAAACTCTTTGATGTTGCTTAAAAATTCAATAGTGTCTATTACTTATTGGACAACATCTCCAATGAAGACGCGTACGCCAATGCTGAATGAGAAAGATAAAAAATTCCAGATAAAAGATGAATAGCAGTGTTGGCCAGCATCATAGCATTTTGGAAAATATACATTTTTAAGTTATTAGCACTTCTTATTAAACCAAAAAATGCTTTTGGTGTTTCGCCACTGGAATACACCCCTATATTAAGAGTAGGAACTTGGATTTGTTCATTAAGCTATTTAATTGCATAGTAAAATGTATAAATTTGGTTTAAATTACATATGTCAAAGTAGCAAATTTTTACTGCACGCCACTGGAGGCAATAACGTTCAATGAGTGCTTCAATCTTTTCTTGGCCGCAAGAAATTCCACTTTATGCAACAGTATGAGAAAAAATACTCATTCTCAAGAGAAACCCCAAAAAAGTTCATTTTTTAGGGATAAATCACTTTTTTGAAATTCGATAATTTGAGTTACAGCCAACTTTCGAAAAATTTGAGATATTACTTTTTTAGGATATTCCAAAGCTCAAAAAGGTGCATAGAAAAATTTCCAAGATCAAAAATTGAGAATCTGACATAAGAAGAAATATACCGATCGAACCCTGTACGTGTTCTCAAAGAGTTGGTCAAGAACCTGAATATCTCAACTCGATATCTCTTTCCGTTTCGAAAATATCGTGATATGAATTTGGGTAAAATTTTCGATGTTGCAAAGCAACTGTCCTCCAGTTCATTTGCAGACTATGAGCTATACTAAGTGACATATAAATCCGAACACCCAGTTTAAATGGTTTTATTTTAATAAAAGTTGGTGAATGTATTTATCTTACTGTAAATAACAAGTGAAAAAAATTTCAGCCTTATCAGTTGGACATTCCGGTTTTTATACTGCTTTTTTTTAATTCACTAACGCTCTAAAAATGAATATTTCAGCCGCAGTAAAGAATCAACGTTGGCGGATTTTGTTTCTTGACATCCTTTACGATCGGTTACGATGCCTAGAGTACGGAGGCCTGTACGATTTCGTCAACTTAGTGACTTTGATAGGGGCCGTATAGTGGGACTTCGGGAAGCTGGACTTTCTTTCCGGGCAATTGCAGTTAGAGTGCAAAGAAGTGTAGACACTGTGGTTAGGTGTTGTCAGGCATGGCTTCGAGAAGGCCGTACGCAAAGAGCAAGGGGCACTGGACGCTGCCGTAGAACAACAAACCGTGAATATCGCCGCCTAAGATTATTGGCCTTAAGGGACCGTTTCTCCACTACCAGGTCCGTTGCAAATGAATGGTTTGCAGAACACGGAAGACCTATTGGCATGCGAAGTGTTGACCGACGAATGATAAGTTTTGGCTTGTTTTCATACCGGACACACTGGGTCCTCCCTTTAACTCGAGAACACCGACGTAATCGCCTTGAGTGGTGCAGACAACGGTCACTCTGGGATCAGGAATGGAACAGTATTGTCTTTAGTGACGAGTCTCGATTTTGTTTAGGCATGCACGATGGTCGTGCCAGGGTTAGAAGGCGACGTGGTGAAAGGAGGAATCCACAGTTTTTTGTTGAAAGACATGTTCATCACACTGTTGGAGTTATGGTTTGGCGTGCTATAGCTTATGGTTCCAGGTCACCTTTAATCTTCATCAGAGGTAACATGAACGCGCAGCGTTATATCCACGAAGTTCTAGAACCCCATCTTTTACCCTATCTTGACACCCTGGCAGATCCAACTTTCCAACAAGATAATGCCCGACCACATGTTGCAAGAGTCACAATAGACTTCTTTCAACATATTGATGTCACATTGTTACCATGGCCACCAAGATCTCCCGACTTATCACCAATTGAGCACGTATGGGATATGATGGGTAGGAGATTGCTCAATTTGCAACGTCCTCCCCAGACTCTAGAAGCACTTCGAGAGGAGTTGGTGGTTGCCTGGAATGAGGTACCACAGGAGGAGATTGACCACCTGATCAGAAGCATACCTAGGTGCGTTGGAGAATGCGTAGCACATCAGGGTGCATCCACACATTATTAAAGGTCAAAGGGCTTTAAAGCAGTGCAATCATTTTGAAATTTTTATCATTTACTTATTATGCTTCATTAAGTACTTATACAAAATTTTATTAAAATAAAACCATTTAAACTGGGTGTTCGGATTTATATGTCACTTAGTATATTTAGTCAGCAAGTGGACATTTTATCGTTTTTTTACATTATTTACTTTTTTTACGTAATAACCCTGCGGGTTTGTTCACCAGGCTTTGGTCAATCATCCTGGAGTCCCTACGTAGTCGCCTCTTAAGAGTCAAAATATTTACTAGCATTGTTATACAAATACTGAAAAGTGAAGTATTTATAAGTAGAAGTCTCCTTGTCTTTAAATGCTTTGCACGACTTTCCCTGAAACCCCCCATGTATTGGCAATGTATTAAATCTATTACAAAAAATTTTGTAACCGATTTTAATTATTTCTGCACTCATAATCTTCGATTTGATTTCAGTGAGGAATAGCAAATTATTACTCAAAAACTGCAAAATCATTGGAGATGGTAAATCATCAACCCCAGAAGGTTTAATAGTCCTTTCAGGAGGAGAGGCTGAGTTGGAGAGTTGTGATATAAGCGGCTTTTCCGAAGCTATTGTTGGCAACTCAGGATCAATCATTATACTAAGAAATTGCAGTTTAAGCAGGGTTGAAGTTGGTATGAAGGTGTTTGAAGATTGCAAGGTTAGCGTGGAGAATACTAGAATTGAGAATTGCAGAGAATATGGCATTATATTAGAAACAACTCAAAATATTGATGGAGGATGTATTGTTGGAGGATTTGATATTTTGAATCAGTAAGTGAGCGAATAAGGGTTTTTACCGTTTTTGGCGGTTACGTATACTGAGTAACAGGTTGGAGATGGCCGATATCGTCGTTTTTGAACATCTGTGATATCTGGTATCGTTACTTTCTGATTCGGTGATTTAATGATAATAATAATACTAATAATTATTGGTGTTAGTACACATATACGTGTACACACGTCAAAAGAGTGCATGTTGAAAATGCATGTCTTCCTTGAGGGGCGTTTAAAAAACAATTAAAATTCAAGAATAATAAACTATAACACATACAGACAAAGCGCAAAAGCGAAACACAGTAAAGTAAAGGACACAGACGCAAATACGGGAGAATATAATAAATATAAACAAACAATCGGAAAAAATGAGACAGAGTAAATTAAATTTGAACATTAACACATGCGGAAACGCGTGACTGACTAAAATAACAAAAAATACAAACATCTACAAAAGCATATCACTAAAGTAATTTGTCAAATACTCATCAATACAGAAGAATACTTTTTTTGTTAGATAGTCTTTGAGTTTCTTGTGGAAAGCATCAATACTCACCGATTTGGCAGCTTTTTCCAACATGTTAAAAAAGTTAATACCATAAAAAATTGCCCCGTTTCTGGTTTTGTCAAGGCGATGGCTATTGTTGCAAATACTAACTCTAATGTGAGTTTCATAACTGTGAGTGGAGAAAAGACTAAAATTGCTTTTCACGTATAACAAGCAACTCAAAATATAAGTGCATGGTAGAGTCAGTATCCCCCATTTGACAAATTCAACTTTGCAGGGATCTCTATATTTCAAGCCCGACATGTAACGGATACATCGTATTTGCATGCCAAAAACTTTTTGCATATGTGCAGAGTGTCCCCATACCAAAATTGCGTAGGTCATTTTGGAGTGGAAATATGCATGATAACTGGTCAATAACACTTTGTCAGATACTACGTCAGATAACTCTGGAGAAATCATCCACAACATAACGAGCATGTACCTCCCAAGTCAGAGTGCAGTCATTATGCACTCCTAGCAATTTCACTGACTTCGAAGACTCCATCTCATGACTATGTAGGCTTATTAACGAATGAGTCTTGTCAGATTTTAGTGATAGCTTGTTGGCAGCAAAAGAATCACCAAGGTCGGACTTGCATAATGAGCTAGTCTTGACGAGGTTATTTGTATATACGTCAGAACTTATCAAAGTGGTGTCATCAGCATATAAAAACAATGCACTATTGGGCGTATCTGACAAGCTTTTAGGAATATCATTGATATATAATAAAAACAGCAGTGGTCCAAAAGCGGATCCTTGAGGACTCTGTGGACTACTGCTTTGGTGTTGGAAGTACAGCCATTAAAATACTCTAGTTGTCCCTGTCAGATAGATATGATTCTAAGATCTGGATACTACCAGGATGAATGTGGTAAAATGGTAATGGTACACAGTAGAAAGCCTTTGACAGATCGAAAAGGTCTTCTTTGATATGTGAATGGTTTCCAAAGCCTTCGATAACGAGATCTGTAAAGTCAGTAATAGCTGAAGTAGTTGATACATTATGTATATCTGACGGTAGTGATTGTCAAAGATGTAAAGTTACTTATCTAATTTGCTATGTTGAGGAGCCTTCTTATACATATTTTATTTCACTTTCACACTTTACTTCTTTATTTAAAAAATGTCCTACAACAAGTTAATCCTCTTCTTTCGAAGACTCATCATTGACGTCAATAATGAACCTCGCGTTGCCCATTTGGTGAATCTTATGTAAGTCTGTATATTTATTTTCAATTTGTAAGACTCTGTCGATGGTTTTCTCCCAATATAATTTAGTGATTTGGCCTGCCTCTGATCTAGTCACTAGTCGGATTTATGTTCCTTCGGCCTATTAGTCTTTTTAGTTGAGCCCATATTAACTCTATGCGATTAAATATACAGAAATAAGGTGGCAGTCGTAGGATCACATGCACGCAGGAAGCTGCCATTTCGTCAGCCGCATACCTTTTCTCAAACTGTCTTGTATGGAGCACCTCCAACAATTCTTTTTTTGTATAAGAATCCTCAAAATAGAGATCGTGCTTCATAAAAAATTCTTGAATGTCTTTCCATAATTATTTATACCGTATAGTATAATGACCGTACTATATAGCGGGTCGGTAACACAAGGAAGCAGAAAAAATGTAAACAAATACAATATTGTTGTCGTCTACTATAACAGTCGTAATTTTAAAATATCAGTTACTAAATCACAGTTCGTGAAATATGAACCGATCGATGAACTGTACCATGGGTGGAACTGATTTAGCGGTAACTTGTTGGCGAAAAACCATCATTTGGCTTGTTCTAGACCATCCACACCCATGTTTCGGTCAGGTCTAGACATCAAGATGGTATTGTCTGCAAATAAGAAGCAGAATCCATTGTCGATACTCGAGGGCAGGTCTTTGATATACAGGGTGGACCAGAAAGACGTACGAATTTCAAAACCGCATTGCTCGTGACAACCACGAGGGAGCGGGACACTGGTAGTGGGGATAAGTAGCTTGATGCTCGGAAATTTAGTTGTCATGGAGCGTTTCACCAGTAAGCAGCATGTTGTTCTGTGTTGAGTCGTATTACAAAAATAGAGATTCGTGCACTATTGCGCGGCGTGTGTTTCGCTCTGAGCTTAGTTTACATGATCTGAATAAATGTCCTAGTGAAAGTGTGGTCAGGTCGTGAGTGAGAAAGTTCGAGTCTACCGGTTCGACACTGAATCAGAAACCTGCGGGGCGTCCAAGGTCAATACGAACAGAGAAAACTGTAAGCGAAGTTGCGACGTCCGTACGGCGCGATTCACAGTTATTATCCGAAAGAGGTCAGCTGAGCTCGCCATATGAAGAACACTTTGGTAAAAGACCTTAAATTGAACCCATATAAACTTCAACTAGTGTAGGAATTGAAACCGCAGGACCACCATCTTCGCATTGCGTTTGCTGAAACAATGTTAGAGCGCTTTCCAAGTTAGAACAATATTCTCTTTTCTGATGAAGCTCATTTTCATTTGAGTGGATTTGTTAACAATCAAAATTACCGGTATTGGGCCGCGGAATATCTCAAATCAAAACTCCAACGACCTTTGCATTCGCATTATGTTACAGTTTTGGCGGTCATGCCGGCTCAAGGAATCATCGGACCCTATTACTTCGAAAACGAGCAAGGCCAGACGTAACAGTAAATTCTAATCGCTACACAGCGATGCTATTTTTTCCACAAGTGTTTAGCGGAAAACTTATATCGCGAGGGGACATTACGTGGCCTCCGCGGAGCCCAGATCTCACGCCACTGGATTTTTTCTCTGGGAATACCTCAAGAGCCGCATTTACGCCAATAAACCGATGACGATTGCCCAGCTCAAGTACAACATTTCGGAGGAGATGTCCTTTATCCCACGAGCATGTGCCGGCGAGTTTTCACGAATTTGTAGTTTTTCCTATAATTTCTCATAATTTTCTCTCAACTTAATGGCCCACCCTGTATATTACAATTAGCAGGGGATTAAGTACTGATCCCTGCGGCCTCCGTTACGAATAGGCAGAAGGCCGTAGGCGGTGCCCTCAGAGCTTACATACTGCTTCCTGTTTGACAAGTACGAACGAAATAACGCTAGTTACGTGTTTCTTATTCAATTGACACAATCAAATGCTTTTTTTAAGTCACTCATGGTAGCTATAGGTTTAGAGTTATCTTGTATACTCAGTGACATTGGATGTGTTACACCCGGAAAAAATAATGTCTTCAACTTGTTTTTTTGGCAACATAATGCTGTGGAAACAACGTTTATCTTTGTTTTTGTTTACCTTTGTTAAATTTTATCTCTTAGTTTGTATGAATAAAGCAGTTTCTGAGAGCTGAGTAGTACAGATATTTTTAGTTATTGCCCTTTCATTTACTAGTGTTAAGCATAACAAAATGCCCCGAGTTCGAAGACGTCCAAGTTATCACCATGTTAGCGACTTTGACAGGAGTAGAATTATTGCCTATTGAGGTGTTGGTTTGACCTATCGCGTAATTGGCCGCCGCCGCCGTGTTAATTGTCCTGCTATAACGGTAATGCGTGTGTGTCGTGAGTGGATAGAAGACGGTAGAGGAACACGAAGAAGGCCTACTGGTCCACTGAGGCACAGAGCGTCAAGATACGCGCTTCAGACAACTAGCCCTACGAGACCGTTTTGCTGCTATGCGTGGTATCGCTGACCAATGGTTTGGAGAGGAAGGTAGACCTGTTACTATGAGTATACTCTATTGTCGCATTCGAGCCTTTGGACTTTTTTCATACAGTCCACGGTTAATGCTTCCTTTGACTGCGGACCCCTGACGTCAACGTTTGAACTGGAGCAGAGAATGGCAACATTGGGAGGCAGAATGATAGAATGTTATCTTCGGCGACGAATCGTGATTCTGTCTAGGTACGCACGATGGTCGTAGAAGGGTAAGACGCCGCCGTGTAGAACGACGTGATATTGGATTTGCTGTTGTGAGGCATGTACGCATGACTGTTGGAGTAATGGTTTGAGGGGCTATTGCATATGGTCGCCGATCTCCCCTTCTCTTTCTTCCAGGCAATATAATTGCTACGTGTTATGTTGACGATGTCCTACAAACCACTTTACTGCAGTATTTAGAGGTCTAGACGTATACAGGAGTGTATTCAGCTGTGGGGTTGCCCAACACATTGATTTTTTTATTGTCAATAAAATTTAGTGAGAATGTTATCATTTCGTTCTTAATGTAAGACTACCAACAAGTCAAGTTGAAGAAATTATTTTTTGTGGGTGTAACACTTCTAATGTCACTGAATATATTATACAGTACAGTACTTCCTCTAAATAATGTGAGTAGTTCTCTTATTGTGGTTGATTTTTTTCGAAATCTATATCAGATAGGATATATTTACTTTCGCAGTAGCTTGTAAATTTCTCTTTCACCATAATCTCAAAGATTTTCCCAATTATAGTTATAATTATGAATAGGGATAATTTTAGAAATTTGTAATTTATCTCGTCTCTTGGCATTTTGTTGATGGTATATCCTGTAATTTTTATTCTGGGTCTCTTCTTCTTCTCTTTAATAAATTTATATTTTTGGCTTAGTTTTTCAGTAACCACATGTTTCAATTTAGAATTATTGTAGTGGTCTTATTTTATAAGAATTTTTCCATTGTTTAAATATTTTATTGAGCTCATACTAATTTTCAACTTTGCTTTATGTTTTTTAAAAGTCTTATATTGTTTTTTGAATTATTTGTTTTTTGCTTGGCTTGATTATTATTATTGTTAGTGATTTATTATCTTCTGTATTATTTCTTCTTTTACTTTGGGCTATTTCTGCATATGTTTTAAGATGGATTTGTTGAATAGGTAGGATCCGTATATTTTGTATTTTTCACTTGTCATAATTGTGTCTTTTTCTTCAATATTATTTAGAATTAGTTGATAATGATTTTGTAGATTTTTTATCTTCTAATATTTCTTCAATGAATTTATTCTTCTCTTCAATAACTCTTCTCTTCTTCAATTTGTCCCCAGTAGGATTTTTCGTCTGCAATGTAAAGTCGTGTAATTTTCATTTTGCTTTCATTCTTAGTGAACACTCCTTACATACTTTTATCTTGATCTAATTTTTGGCATTAGAAGTCAATAAAATATTTTTAAAGGTAATGGCTGAAATTTCTACCGTGTGGGATCCGCAGTTGCAAAAAGGTGTGGCGATATATTTTTTGTCAGTCTTCCCGGTAAGCCTTGGACAATTTGTATGTGTGATCTCTACCAATATTCACGTCTGTGTTGGACCGAATATAAATAGGAAGAGTAGTATCAAAAAACTCAAATAAAACTTAAATAAAAACTTACATTTGTGTATTTGTTAATAATTTTTATTTGTTATCAGTTATTCATGTAGGTAATATAAACTACAACCTATTATTGTTTGTTGTACACTGTTTTATTGAGCTTAATTTATGAATATTTACATTGGACTGATGAGGATTAGATGTTTTTAAACTTACATAATGTATGTAAACTTTTAGTTTTAAATAAATCTTCCTTTTTTGGATTTATTAATTAGTTATTTCAGTTATTTGCTCCGGCGACTTGTTTGTGTAGCAATTTATAATTTGATTTAAATCGCGATTAAAATTGAATCAAACAATTATTAATTTAAATAATTTGATTTAAATCGTCACAACACTGACCAAACCCTTTTGTTTATTCCAGATATAAAGGAACAGCAGTTACACAGATTACCGGATCATCCAACAGTAAAGGAGATGCGCTCGTTAAAACAAAAGCGAAGCTAAAGCCTGTCGAGGATTTATTTTCGAATCCCAATTTTGATCCAACTATTATTGAATCAGAGGAAATGGATTTTAATGGCGAATTGATAATGAATGGCGATTTGGATAACTTATAAGTGCTGTTAAAAATGTAAAATATGTATTTGTGTTCTTGGAATTACATTTTGATTCACGTTTTTTTTAAGTTTGCATTTTTTTTCGGAGTGTAGTAACTGTCGTTCGTATAATTTGCATTACAGGAGCCAAATAGTACCCCTGATAAGTTATAGGCTGTAAAAGTGATGTCAAATTTCGAAAAAATAAACATCTCGTTTATTCTTGAACTTGAAAAATGTAAATTTAGAGCACTTCTTGAGTCTATCAAAGAGCATTAATTGACGGCAATGAAAGATCAATTGAAGCATCTTAATGGATTCAAAAGGGATGATGCGCCCAGAAGTTCTACGCGGACTGCATTTCCGAGAGCCACGCCGTCCTTACCGACAGTATTGGCTCCTTCATACGAATACTTGTCTTATGTTAGGCAGTTTAACCTCTTATTTCTACACTTCATGTTTTCTAATTTATTACTGCAAATAATTGCTTTATTTCCATTATTTAAGTTGCTTGTTTTTCTATTACTGTTCTAACACTTTAACTGATTCTCGTCTGACGTTTAATTTCATAGTCAACATGTGAATGTTCGATAATTTTACATAAAACAGCTGCAATACAATTTTAGTTATTCAGATTTTTGCTGACGACTTGTGAGCAATAACAAGAGTAAAAAAGTTTTATAATTGGATTATACATCTTAAACCAATCGATTCAGAAGTAATTTTTAAAAGCTTTATTCAAGGACTGTAACTACAGTCCGTTACAAAATCATGAAATGACTATGACGGAGTCTAACCGGGTATTGAACAATAGTATAGGTTAGCTCAGGCACACGTAGCTTTCCGCTGACGATGCATTGTAGGCTTACAATAGACCATAGATCGAAATACAAAGAACAGTGGATCAACAGGAAGTTGTTATCATAGGTGAATAAGTATGATGCAACATTGTATTAACTGCATAGTTACTAAGACCATATAACAACTCCCCATTACAAAAAGCTGTTGACAGGCGTCAACTTTTTAGGAAAATAAGAAAATTACAAAAGTGAAAAAATACAAACATTTAAAATTGCAAAAATATAACGTAAAATAATAAAATTGCAAAAACAGTAAAATTGCAATAATAAAAATCAGAAAATACAGATTCTGAAATATAAAGTTATGTGGTACAAAAGTAATGTAAAAAGAACATCTAAATATAAAAGCACAAGCTGAAACAAATAAAACGTTGAAATTCAGACGTACAAACATACTGAAAATGACATCGAGTAACCCTGTACGATTATCTGGAATAGGCAGAGGAATAATTTTGTACAGAGCATAAATTTCGGGTTTAGATATGCAGACACTATTGCCAAATTGACTGGAAGTGTCAAGTTATTTTTTAACAAGGTGTGCGAAATTCCCTGAAGGGAATTGACTAAGTCCAAAGGGGTGATTATAGAAGGATGAATCATTTTCAGACAAGCAAATGTAATGGAATTAAGAATATCGTCAATTCCTCCCTCAAGAAACATGTAACTTTCCATTAATTGCTTAAAAAAATTGTAATTTCGCTTAAAAAAAAGGCAAAACCATCAGAAATGTTTTAGACTTGTTTCTCAATGATTTTTATATCTTCATTAAATGTAGCTTCGTCAATTTGTAATTTTTGGAAAGGGTTTTTTAAAACTATTGATAACTGATATGGTCACGGAATTTTGATTTTGCATGATATTCTCAAGCTCACGTTCATCCTTTAATTTTTTTTTAATACAGCCATTGTAGTATTCACCATCAGATGAATCTAGGTTACCAGTTATCGCTTTCCAAATTGTACCTAAACCGTTAATTAGACCGCGTCTGATACTGGATGCGCTAATTGTATCATCGAAATTCTGTATAGAAGACTAACGTGTGTCTTAATTTCAGCTCTAAATGTTTTCATACGATTAACTGGTTCATCAACAAGAGAAATAAATGTTCCAAAATGTAATTATTGTGATCCAAAGATTTTTTAATGAGTTCAAGGCCCTTGTAAACTAAAAAAATTTAGTTTTGTTATCCTTTCTGTTTCAGGATTTTTTAGGGGGACTGAATTTTTGTAAACTTGAGTGACTTCGAATGGGCCATCAAACTTATTACAAATTTAGGATTGTTTTATGTCTACTTTTTCGCCAGCTTTGTACGTTTGCAAATTCGGCGACACTCTACAGTCGAAACGAGCTTTGCAGGACGACACGCATTAATATAAGTGGAAAGCAATATTGGGTTACCATCGTATTCTGGCACAATTGAAAATATTTCTGATAATTTATAGTGCTCGATGTTTGCATGCGCGTTATCATGAACTTCAGGCTGATAATCATCCAACAATCGTTGGTGTTAGGCATTGTGAATTGGAAAGTTGTTTCTCAAAGGCATACAAACGAAAAATTCAAACTGGTAAATGCTCAAATATGCGAATGTCGAATGCGAAATACGTAAATTAGGGAAAATATATAGAAAATAAAAAATAGATATGCAAAAAAACAATTGAAATACACTCGCACAGATATATCACAAAGAAATAGTTCGATGGATGATTTTATAATGGCCTGTGTTATTCACGCTGCTAGTTTAACGGATAAGCGAGCACTTATTTCTCAAATCGGCAAAAATATGTTAATACATTGCGTTATAAAATCTTACATATACCATTAGAAATGCACACTATAAAATTATACAACCGCCTCAGATTTAGTCGAGGAGTTGGCAACGTCGAGTGTGGTGTTCGTGTACAATCTGTCAGCCATGTTGCATCCTGAAAAAAATGGTGGCTTGACATCGACATAAGTCAATCGTGTTCCCAATCCCAATGGACAACACGGGCCTTCTTCAATGTATAGGTTTTGTGGTGTATATGTTTCGAGTTGTTTTTGTTAAAAAATCAAAAGTTTATTCTTTGATTATAATGCCTAATTGGTAGTGTTATCTAATATTCACAATATATAAAATGTATGATCTTGAAATACATAAGTCAAAATAGGATGGTACACCATAATGAGTGCCTTGCAAAACGTTGAAACCCAGAAAGCCTACAAGTATTTACAAGAAGTTGAGAAAATTGCTCAAGATATTTTAACAGCAAAAGATAATAAATTACAACTAGCAAACGCTCAAAACAAGTTGAGAGAATCTTTTAGAGCATTGGAACATGTCGAGGACAGGAATACATTCATTCAAGTTGGATGTGTACATATAGAAATGCCTACAGAAGAATGTAGAGATAAATTGAAACAAGGTAAATATTCCTTTTCCAAATGGATAATGAGAAAAATTAAGTTTTATAGATTATCAAATTGATGGTTAGGTTGTTCTAACAGCGGTCTGACTTGTCCATTTTGAATTTTGGTTGTGTGGCTTTTTAATTCTCATGGTAACTGGTAGTCTTGTTTAGAGGTTAGTTTAGACCATACACTTACTAAGAAGTCGGAATATAAATAGGCTATTCTGGCTCTTAAAAGACCTGATTGAAAGAAAAATTGTAAGAGAGGTGTCCATGAAGGAGACTTTCACTGTAGTTTACATGTCGATAATCTGGCCATTAAAACTACATGTATTGACAGAATCTTCATTACTCCAAATATGTTTCAATCACGAATGTGTACTTTATGACAGTTCATTTGTTTTTCCTTTTCATTATCACACTCTTATACAGTTTATTTTTCTAATAGTCTGAAAATTCCATAACATGCTGAAATTGCATAAAGTAATTCCAAGAATGGCACTATGCAAAGCCAGCTTAGCTCATGACTACCTGGCGTAGGCATTCCAGTTCCCAAAAAAGGATGTCCAGTAGTCCAAAACAACAAGTGAGCAAGATTCTATCTGTCATTTTTTAATGTACCAGATATGACACTCTCGTCCATCATCCTGAAAAGTTAGTTATTGAACTGAAACGCGAGAAACACTAATTTGACATCTAAGGGAAACCATGTTTGTCCTGTGTGTGAAGTAATATGAGACACAACAGTGTAGCTTTGAGATGGAAAAGCAGAACATCGAGTTTGAGACCCAACAACAAGCTATAATAAAACCTGGAAAAAAAACTCATGGTACATTAGTTAGGTTGGAGAATATCAGTTACCACAATCCACAGAATTGGAAAGACAATTGTTATTTAATTTTATACAGGGTGGTTCACAAGTCGCGACCAAAAATGAAACATAAGAGATACAGGGTGTTAAAAGTTTAAAAATAAAAACAATTTTATTTAATATCTTCAAAACTGTCAACTGGAATGAACTAAAAATTCTTCGAATTTCACCTTCAAGTTGCTACAAATAATTACTCTTTTGGGTTTTCCCTATAGTGCATTGTTTTCATAAAAATAAAAAACAAATTGGATAATCAAAGATTTATATCAATAAATGTTAAAAAAACCACCATTCTCCCAGGTAAAAGTTTCGTTTTTCCAATTTTGAGTGTTGTGTATGGGTTCTATAAATGCTTTAGCGGCTTCTGGGGAGTATTAATGTAGATTTCCTATCAGACGCCAACATACTCGGTTTTTACGCGTTCATTTCTAAAATACCGGCAATTTGGAATTGCTGAACTGGAAGTAATTAATTTGGCGTTGGATGATCCTAGTACAAGTACTAGGCGGATTGCAGTCTAGTTACCATGTTTCCAAAGTCTTGTGTGGAAAATTTTAAATCTGGAAGTTTTACATCCTTACCATCGGCAAAATGTGCAATGTTTGCAATCCGGCGATGAAGTGCAACTGCGAAATTTTTGTGAGTGGTTCAGTTACAAGAAAGAATAGATAACGCGTTCCATCAAATTCAAGCCATAACAAATTTTGCGGATATACGTTTTTCTTTATTAAAAAGATGCTGTACTTGTATCCGTCAGATTGGTGGTCTTTTTGAATATTTAGTGATATGAAGCTTTGATTATCCAATTTGTTTTTTTTTTACGAAAACAATGCACTCTAGGGAAAACACAAGAGTAATAATGACTAATTGAAGGCAAAATCCTAAAAATTGCGCGTTTCGAAAAAACCAGAGTCGTACTATTCTTATTTTAAAAAATAATGCCACTAATCCCCTGTATCTCCGCCACTGCTGCACGTTTATGTTAAGTAAAGTCTTTTGAATGTGGACAATACTTAGGTAAATCCACATTTTAGTTCATTCCCGTTGATGGTTTTGAAGACATTAAAAAAAATGTTTTTTATTTTTAACTTTAATGAAGCAGATAACATCACGCTCGCTTGTCGTCTTGGAGAGCTGGACGTCCTTTTTGGAATGGGAATGCCTAGCGTAGGCGGTCCTGGGCCACGCTGGTTTTGCGTGGTGCAATCTTGAAAGTAATTTCGTGCAATCTCAGCATGTTACGGGACTTTCAGACAGATGTAGTAACACACTGTATAGGAATGTGATAATGAAAAGAAATCAAACAAACTGTCACCTGGAAGACAGATAAATAAAATATATTGTCATTGTACTGAAGATCACCTTTGTGATTGAAAAGTATACAGAAAAGAATATTCTGTTAATAGTTGTGGTTTTATTGTCCAGAAAAGCATGGGGGTTTATCGGTCTTTAAAAGTTTATTTCAATTGTGACTGAAATTAATGCCTTAGTGGATTTTTACTGTCTTTCCAAAAATGCCAATAATATATAGAATTATACAGTATTATACCCCTTTTCCAGATATAGCAGAAATAGAAGAAGAAATGAATAAGTTACAAAAGACAATGAAAGAAAATACAATGAAACTAAGAGATTTAGAGCATGAACCAAGATTAGAAGGGTTTTCGTTAAAACCAATGTCTGTTGCAGAAGCAAAAGCCTTGCATAAAGGGTTTGGATTATTGTAAAAATTAATGCCAAAAATATGTAACAATAATTTAATGTTAAATAAATAATACATAACAGTCAAAATTTCACTCACTTTTTCTGCTTTTAACGCCTGATAGTGAAATCATTAAAAGTGTGTTTACTAATATCCTTTTCATCAGTGAATACTGCCTTTTCAATTATTGATTGTGGACTCCCAGTTTTGTCCAACCAATATTTCCTAAAACAATATTTCATTATTAATATGTCAAGGGTGTGTTTCAAAAATTGGATGTTAATAGCATATGAGGTTACCCTTAAAACTTTTAAAAAGTTAACATCCTTTGTTTTAAATATAGACGTCTATATATACAAACAAATAATAAGGTGTAGGTCCTAATATCTAAGATAGGGTTGCATCTAGAGTGACATGTTATACAGAAACTAAAAGCGCAACGTAAACATGGCGGATTTTTTTAATTCTATGAAATTACAGTTTGATTACAACAATGAAGTACCTATTCACAAAATACTTAAAATATAGGCAATCCTGTCAACAGCTGAATATTTATCTTGCTGTAGGTCTATACAGTGCTTTTCAAAATGTTCCCCTCTACTTATTTTTTGAACGGGTCGGATACGCAAGCTGAAATTCTGGATGACAAAATTAATATATATTTATGTATTTATACTAAGTGACATATAAATCCTAACACCCAGTTTAAATGGTTTTATTTTAATAAAATTTTGTATAAGTACTTAATGAAGCATAATAAGTAAATGATAAAAATTTCAAAATGATTACACTGCTTTAAAGCCCTTTGACCTTTAATAATGTGTGGATGCACCCTGATGTGCTACGCATTCTCCAACGCGCCTAGGCATGCTTCTGATCAGGTGGTCAATGTCCTCCTGTGGTATCTCATTACAGGCAACCACCAACTCCTCTCGAAGTGCTTCTAGAGTCTGAGGAGGACGTTGCAAATTGAGCAATCTCCTACCCATCATATCCCACACGTGCTCAATTGGGGATAAGTCGGGAGATCTTGGTGGCCATGGTAACAATGTGACATCATTATGTTGAAAGAAGTCTATTGTGACTCTTGCAACATGTGGTCGGGCATTATCTTGTTGGAAAGTTGGATCTGCCAGGGTGTCAAGATAGGGTAAAAGATGGGGTTCTAGAACTTCGTGGATATAACGCTGCGCGTTCATGTTACCTCTGATGAAGATTAAAGGTGACCTGGAACCATAAGCTATAGCACCCCAAACCATAACACCAACAGTGTGATGAACATGTCTTTCAACAAAAAACTGTGGATTCCTCCTTTCACCACGTCGCCTTCTAACCTTGGCACGACCATCGTGCATGCTTAAACAAAATCGAGACTCGTCACTAAAGACAATACTGTTCCATTACTGATCCCAGAGTGACCGTTGTCTGCACCACTCAAGGCGATTACGTCGGTGATCTCGAGTTAAAGGGAGGACCCAGTGTGGCCGGTATGAAAACAAGCCAAAACTTCTCATTCGTCGGTAAACACTTCGCATGCCAATAGGTCTTCCGTGTTCTGCAAACCATTCATTTGCAATGGACCTGGTAGTGGAGAAACGGTCCCTTAAGGCCAATAATCTTAGGCCGCGATCTTCACGGTCTGTTGTTCTACGGCGGCGTCCAGTGCCTCTTGCTCTTTGCGTACGGCCTTCTCGAAGCCATGCCTGACAACACCTAACCACAGTGTCTACACTTCTTTGCACTATAACTGCAATTGCCCGAAAAGAAAGTCCAGCTTCCCGAAGTCCCACTATACGGCCCCTATCAAACTCACTAAATTGACGAAATCGTACAGGTCTCCGTACTCTAGGCATCGTAACCGATCGTAAAGGATGTCAAGAACCAAAATCCGCCAACGTTGATTCTTTACTGCGGCTGAAATATTCATTTTTAGAGCGTTAGTGAATTAAGAAAAAGCAGTATAAAAACCGGAATGTCCAACTGATAAGGCTCAAAATTTTTTCACTTGTTATTTACAGTAAGATAAATACATTCACCAACTTTTATTAAAATAAAACCATTTAAACTGGGTGTTCGGATTTATATGTCACTTAGTATATTTAGCATAAATCGGCAGGCGACAATTTCAAGATGGCGACCGAGCGTCATCCTTGAACTCCCTTTTCACACTCATGTTCCCTCATTTTGAACCTCCTTGTGACATAGACATAAAATCGCTCTCTTGCAAAATGATGGAGTGCTACGGCGGGCCGCCGGTGATCTAGCTCTCTTCTGCCGCTATACCAACGGGCTTTACTCCTCAGAGCTCTCCTCCGCGCGATGTGCCTGCCAGACAGATGCTGCGCCTGACTTACGCTTCCCATCGTAAGTTATCTAATATTAAAAAATTTAATGTAAAATTCTGTATATGTAATGTCTATCTTCTTTATGTCTACCCCATGTTATTGTATAATATATATATCACTTAATGGTTTATTCTACACTGTTATTTTGAAATAAGGATCTATTATTACTTTCCAAGGACTGCTTATGGAACAGTAGGCTGGATCACAACCTGCTATGATTTCAAGGGGGATTGGAAAATATGTAATTGATTTTTTTATGGTGTATTCTTTTCTAGTCAAGCTCTTCCATTTGATACCCATATTGAGGGAGGTTGAAAAATAATATCTAATGTGTCATTTTGTAGCGGTGGCGACCATCTTGGAATTGACATTTTTTATAGTGTACTGCAATCTCCTAATTCTCCTAGTCATGCTCTTTCATTTGATAATATATATTGGCAAGGATATTAAACAATATGTATTCCGCCACTTTGTGCCGTGTTAATTATCGCATAAGACCTTTATCAGCAATTTCAAAAATACGGCCCCAAAATAGTCTATGCTGCTTCATTTGAAGCTGGGAAACTGTCAGCAATACAGAAATCCGGCCTGAAGTCTGCAACGATGAAGTGGCGACTGCTCCGGAACTAGAAGTCATCGGTAGTGAACAACAAAAAGCAAAATTCGAAGGTCGTTTCGGGTTCCAAAGAAAAACTCGTTACCAAAAATATGACCATCAAAAACAAAGGAAGTCCCTGAAATATGGTGAACATAATGACGAAGAATTTAATCTTGCCAGTGAGAATAAAGATAAAAAAATTTGGCTTTTCCTGTCGAAAATTAATGAGACCATCACAGAAAATACAATCAGCGATTATATTGTAAAACACGCAAGTACTACTGCTAAGGAAATGCAGGTCAAACAATGCATACCAAAATCTCAACAGAGTAGAAAAAGTAACTTTATGGTTGGTGTTAACCCTGAACTTAAAGACAAGATATATAATAACGCCCAAGGGTGTTGCATTTGAAAGGTTTAACTTTGGGTTAGGTAGACATTTTTTAGACAGAAGTCATGTAGGGTAACTAATGTACCCTGTGACCACCAAACACCCGCCACATGGGAAACTGATTCTGGCAGCCACGGCTCTGAGAGTCATTGTATGTCTGTTCTGCACTTAAGCGTACAAAGCATGAATAACAAAATTTTGTAAATGAAAGTTCTGCTTGCAGAAAAGAAACCAGACATTTATTGTGTCTCAGATCATTAGCTGCAGTGAAACGATATAAACTCTATAGTTTTAAACAATTATATGCCTATCAGCCATTCATCATGAACAGAATTTCGTGGTGGAGGCACAGCCATTTTTTGTAAATTCAGACTTACTGTTGAAAGTTTAAGGACTAATACCGAGAATATTGAAAAACACTGAGAGTATGGCATGTCCCAATTTACTCGTATATTAAATAATAAACATATTGTGATTTGTGTATACAGGGAATTTAGATCTATTTCTCTCTACTCTTGATGAAGTTTTAAATTATGTGTGTGCCCCAAAGAAATATCTATTGGTTTGCGGGGATTTTAATGTAGATTTCTTAGTTCAGTATGATGGAGCTTTTTCTGTGACAGCCTATGACTAGTTATGGACTAGTGTCCCACATGACTGGCATAACGAGGATAGGTTACACTGGGGGCAGTCAGCTTGATAATATTTTTAGTAATATACCTGATACACAATGTAGCATTATAAAAATGAATATATCAGACCACTATGGTCAAAGCCTTAATTTTACATTAAATAGCAAGGTTTCTAACATCAATTATGCAAGGAAACGTTTTTTCGCGGCTTCTAACATCCAGCGTTTCAAAGATGTGCTTAGCTCCGAGTCCTCGAATGATGTATATGGGTCAGTTGGGGTTGAGGAGAAATATCAAACCTTCTTTAACATACTATTTCACTGTTTTGACATTTCTTTTCTATTATGTACCTATCGATTAAAATTCAAAGAACAAAAGTGGGTAAATGATGAGATATATAAAAGATTTGTATGTTTGGTCTAAGCTTACACATGGCCCTAGAGCATGTAATCAGCATAAAATTGAACGATAAGAATACCGGAAATTTCTGTCTAATTACAAAATAGCTTTAAATGAAAATAAAATATTAAACTCAAAAAACATGACAAAAACTGCATGGAGTATTTTAAATGCAGAAACTAAAGCTAGCTAAAACTTAATAATGGTGTAATAATAAAAGATATCCAAGAAACTACTGATGCTTTTCGGAAGCTATCACGAATCCTACTTTATTTTTGCTCCCTGTTGACAAGAGAGAAATTAAACTTATTTTAGCCAGTTTGCCAAAGAAATTTTCAGCTAGTTTGGATGAAATCCCAGTGGTAGTTCTAAAGCAGATATCTAACTATATATGTGAACCGTTAACTAATATTATTAATGAATGTCTGTTTTCAGGAATTTTTACGTCACATTTAAAGAGGTTCCCATTTTCAAAAAAGGAGATGTGCATGATATAGCTGATTATCAGCTAGTCTCACTGTTGTCTTCTGTGTCAAAGGTCTTCAAAAAGGTCATATGTTCAAGGATAATGAACTTTATCAAGAAATACAACATTTTAACACGAAATCAATTTGGCTTTCGCCCAAATCATTCCACACAACCTTATTTAAGGTTCTTACTTTTATTGTTGAAAATGTGGATAAGAATGAAAAAGGGGCCGGTCTGTTTTTTATTCTATCTAAGGCCTTCGACACGATAGACCATCAAATACTCCTTAAAATTATTTGTAAACATGGCACTGCTTATAGTCATATCTTGACAGTAGGGAGCAGCTTGTCTGTATAACCCAAAATGGTGTTAGGCATTTTTCATCAGTTACCTTGATTAAACAGGGGTCAATTCTGGGACCGTTGTTGTTCCTGCTCTATGTGGATGGCCTTTGTGACAGATTTATGGAAGGTCTGATTTGCCAGTATGCGGACGACACTACTATTGTGCTGACTGCGTCGGACATGACTGGCTTGTCCGGGGTCTGTTCTTGTGCGGTGGGGACCATGCAGGATTGGTGCAAGGATTATGCATTAAGATTGAAAGCAGATAAAACTGGACTTGTCACGTTCAGTAAATCATCTGCCAGGGGTGAGTCGCTGTTGGTTCGTTGCAATAGCGGATCATTACCAGAGATTAACGATATCAAGTTTCTGGATCAAGTACCTGGATTCGAGTCTGAATTGGGTTTGTCAAACATCTGTTTTGATTGGTAAACTCAAAAGCTTCTGTGCGTTGGTGCGGCGGCTGCAAAATGAGATTTCTTTGAACACTTTACGGCAACTTTATTATGCATCTGTACAGTCATTTTTAACTTATAGTATAATGTTCTGGGGCTCTTCACGGGGTGCCATAACAAATTTTATAGCGCAAAAGCGCATCCTGAGGTGCATTTTGAGACTTCATCCTCGAATATCATGTCGGGAACATTTTTCAAGATTGGGATTCTTGACAGTTCCATCCCTGTATTTTTTGTCACTTGTTTTATTTTTTAAAAAGCATATGTATCTTTTTCATAGTAACGCACATTATTATGCTGAAAGTATGACCGTTGTGACCAGAGACAGATACAATCTGAGTGTGCCTGCACATTTGTCCACATTTTTTAAGAGGGCTCCAGTAAACATGGCTGTCAAAACTTTTAATATGCTTCCTACAGATATAAAATCCGAGAGCAACCCTATTAGGTTCAAAAGAGCGGTGAAAAAGTTTTTGCTGGACAGATGTTTGTACAGCTTTGATTTCAACATGTGAGCTCCATCATTTTATTTTAATAATATTTTAAGTTAATTTTTAACATACTGGACTTGTGTTTGTCATTTTAATTTAACAGTTTTTAATATTGTAAACATACATGTACAACAAAATTTTATTTTGGCTGGTGACCCTTGTACAATTTTTGATAATTTATTTGTAACATACCATTTTACATTTGTATTTCTGATTTATTGTTTAATATATGCATTTGTGACATTTTTTAAGTTACCTGCTTATGGTGCCTGGGTGTTGTTTATAATTCCTGTTATGGTATTGTATTACATTTGTGCTTTTCTGTGAAGTTGCTTATGTATTTCTTGCAAAATTTTGCTGGCAATAAAGAATATTATTATTATTATAAAAATGTTAATTTCAAACTGACTCTTTTAATACTATTATTTCAAGATCCAGCCACTCAAATCTGCAAGCATCTGTTTTTTGATAAAACTTGATTTTTATGGATGATAAATAATAGAATAGATTACAGCATGGTCACCTGAGTGTTTAGTGTGGGCTTGCTCGATAACTCTTATTATTGCACATAGTATCCAAAAAGGTTAATTACAAAAATTGTAGCCAACAGTATACTCCTTACTTGGAACATATTTTCATCTCTAAAGGTAATTCATAACTATGTGGTGACCCAATCATGTATTTTTTTTAATCAAAAGTATATTTTATTGCAGATTTGTATACACCATTTCAAATGATGCAATTTGATATAACATACATTAGGGTTTTATTTTCAGATAGTTGAGATATTGGACAATCTAGTGAATAAATAAACTCAACTTTGACAACTCCCATGTCCACAACTGATTTGTCGAGAGTACTGAATTTTTCGGTAAAAAAAATTATGATCCCATATTTCCTCCCTACCTACTTACTTTTTAAGTTTTTGATAATTTCTACAGGGTAGTTAAAAAATGAAAATATTTTCTCAAAATTTTCAAATGGAACATCCTGCTGTAATCTGTTCTACTATTATTTGCCATTAAGAAAAATTAAGTTTTATCAATAAGTCAGATACCTGCAAAAAATCCAATAAGGCTATAAAAGGCAATCATCTAGGGAACAAGTGGCATGTTTTACAAAGAACCTACGTTTTTTGTACAGCTATAGATCAAATGTTGACCCAGTTGATGCTAAGTTTATAATACATACATTGTTTTTAGAGTTTGTATAACATGGCACTAAAAGACATTTTGAAGAATGGACAGGTCCTGTTTACCAAATACTACTTACATTTCATCAACTTTAGAAGAAGGACCTTCAATTACCCCTTTTACTGTTCCTTGTGAGGTGTTCATACACCACCCTTTCAGTCCCAGCTTGTTTGCCTCTTTTTCAGTGTACTGAAATTCACTTAATAATAACAACAAAAGTAATGTAGATTTTGGTACTTTACCTTCCGAAAGAATACACCTGAAAATTAATCAACATTTAGGGGAAAAGTGCCAAATCTTCCTAGGTGATGCAAAGTGGACTGTATGAAGACACACACATACCTTGGACCCTTCCGAAAACCTCGAAATTCACTGATAATAGCTTTTTAGTTGAACCCATGCTTGATGTATTATTGACGTCGTATATCAATAGAATTACTGCAAAAACAGGCAAAATCAATTTGAAGGGCAGAAGCATATGACACAAAACATATATTATGCTACAAGCAGATGATGCCAAAATAGTAAATAAAAATCACAAAAACTAAGCAGTAAACAATACACTGAGGTACACTCACTAGGACAACGCGATTGACTTATGTCTTATGTCATTGTCAAACCGCCAATGTTTTGAGGGATGGGTGCTATGGTTGCCAGATTGTGCCTAAATACTACGCGACGTTCCCAGCTACTTTCCAGTGAATCTGTTGAGCATCTCAGTAGTGCTCAGCACCAATAATACCGTTCTACTGTACGTTGTATTCTTAATCATTGCTTCTGGAGCGGGTCACTCTCAAACCAAAAACCACTGGAAAGCAGCTCAGGTCTAAATAAATTTGAGCTTGCTATACCGTATTATACAGGGTGACTTTGAAGTTGAGTCATTAATTTTCAGATAATGATTGTAGAAGGAAGATAAACCAAAATATGTGTGTAAAAATAAAAAAAAAAATACCTGGTTTTATAAAGTATCCCCCCGACAAGTATTTCAGTGCGGACCTGTATTTGATCGTGAGGTCTTGGAGCACCGGCATGCCGTCCGTATGTGAGGTCTTAAGTCAAATGATTCACGAACCCGTTGTACTACATTAACAAAGGCACGAGGGGTTGGTTGCACTCGATTGGGAAACCGATCCGCATAAACATGTGCCATTTTTTATTTCGTTTGAGCCACGCAACATACACCACTATCCACTACCGACTGACACTGACTGTATACAACTGAATGAAATAATTGTAAAAACATCGTTCCAAATTCTTTCGCTTTTTTGTTTCCGATGCGATGAACCGATAAGGCGAATTATATCCGTTGTCGCCAAACACGAGCACATAATATTATTATTGAGACAGGGCGGTACTCAAACTTCCAAAGGGCTATAACTTTGTTACTTTAATTTTACCAGAAAAATGGTAAAGGAAAAAACATTTCTTTTGATCAGATCTACTCACTGTTAAAATAAATGACTCAACTTCGAAGTCACCCTGTATATAGGTTGGGATTTTGAAGATCTTATACCGGCATGTATTATTAACATTTCGCGCTATCTTGACGAACAAGTGTTTTCTCGTATGTTAAAGCAGCAATGTCAATAACCCAAGCTGTTATAAGATCACCCATCTCTACTTAATAATCTGGAAAGGTTCAGAAGAAAAGCATTTCCCATTACAAACAAATCAGTATTAATATCAATTATGTTTTCATTCCCAGCCTTTGTTGGCACCTGCGTGTAAATCAAAAATGAGTAATAAATTGAATTGTGTAGATGTTACTGCATTTTACAGATTTCTTATTTATTAGAACAATATTATTATTGGGCACTCACAAGAATTTTTCTCAGGAGTTCCGATCGTCGTCATAACTTTTTGAATAGCGGTGGTAGCAAATTTTCTCAGGGGGCCAAATATCTAATAATTAGTACTTACAGTTTTATTCACCTTGATTTGAAGGTTTCCTTCTTGCTTATAGCCACCTTTTTCTTGTTTTTTTGCGAGTAAAAGGATTTTTATTCACCGCTGCTATCAATATAATATTTCTCATGATTAAGAAATTTACTTTACATCTGACAACGCTGTGGCTCAGGCGAATCGGTGATCGGTACTGTCAGTTGTCTTATTTATCTATCTAGTGACCTTATAATTGTCAAGTTTGAAGGTTACAAAACGTGACAATCGGTGGGTTTTATTTGTTTTCTTTTGACCAATTTTCCAGTTTGTAAAAGAATCGGTACGAGCGAAGATGCGTGGCTTATTGTTGTAAAGTGTAAATCGTGAGATGATTACCAAAATAATGACGACCTTGCTGGCCGCCGCTGAATTATCGAACATTTTCTCTGTGCTGGCAGTTTTACTTTGTTTCTTTGCAATGATTTTATACATCACAAGGTGCGTTTACTATATTGTTTACTTGGTTGTCATCCTTTGTATGTTGCTTCTAGTTTTTCAAATATTCCTGTTTTGTTTAAGGAATATGATGGTTCTTAGAGTTCATGGAGACGATTTTGTCTTTCCCACAAACATGCATCAGGTTCCTCCAAGGGTACCTCAAATGAACATGATGAAGGTTCACATACCTTTTACATTCAAGTTACTGGAAACGTCCAAATCATCTTACTCTGGTAAGTCAGTTTTTATTAATTACAACAGTGCCTGAATGGTTCCTTCATATTTCAAAAAAAGAATAATGTTTCTGAGCTTTCAAATCTTATATATTCTGTAGTGAATACCTGACAACCTCAAAATCCTAAAAATCTAAATATTTTATCTTCATAAGTTTCATGTCAGCCTTGAATTTGCAAATTATTGGATGTCTTGTGTCCATTTATTACCATTCTAATTTAGGTGATGTGAAGAATGTATTTGACCAGATGCTCAAAATGAAGTCAAGGTTGAATTTTGTAAGAGCAATTTAATAAGTATATGCCCTGAGGCTGCACGTAATATTTGCATTTTTCTCTGTTATGAAATTTTTACTAATTATAGTTATGAATTCCTAAGCGGCAAAATTGTTGGAAAATGTTTTGTAAATGAAATTTTAATATCAAGCCCCCAGAAATCCAGAAACCAACTGATATGATTCTTCCAACTATAAGATTAAGCATAAAAAGGATAAATTCTACTTTCACTATTACAGCATATTGCATAATGCTTGTTGGCCCCATTTTGTTTAGAATGGTTTACATTACTATGTAATTTATGGCCAAAACTGCAACCTGAGTAGATGTACATTAACAGGCATTATCATTATAGTTGCTAATACATTTATATTTTATAAACAATGCTTTGTGGGGGTATGTGTTAAGGTATACTAGTTCAAATAATTTTTTTATTTATTTATATTTTTACATAACTAATAAGCTTGAAAAATAAATTTCTCTTGAAAAATGGGACATAAACACCTGTTAAAACCAAATGTATGCATGTCAAACTATATAATTATGCATGTTGAGATATACAGGGTGTTTTCAAAGTTGAGTCATTTATTTTAACAGCTTTTAAAATTCATCACAAGAAGTTGATGTACCAAAACTCACCTATATAAAAGTTGGATAATAAGTGAGTTAGTTTACATTATTGAAAATTATTTAGAGAAATCATCATCAAGTTGATCGGATACTCTTTTTACAAAAACTGTGCAAAATTGTCCCCATTTGTTGAAATAACGCAAAATCCTGCTCGGCGAATCCACAACTCTTTACAAGCTTCAAAAATTAAAACCTGGTGTCCATGAATTAAATCAAGCATTTTCAGTGCACTGTTGATGTTCTTCGAGAATATTTGCTGCTCCATCATGATACACCATCTCTTTCAAATAGACCCACAGAAAAAAATCGCCAGGTGTTACATCCGGGGAGCAAGCAGGTCAAGAAATGGGTCCATTGTGTCCTATCCATCTATACGGTGACTCATTATTTAGATGTTCAGGAACTTGAATAAGATGTGGTGGAGCACAATCATGTAGGAACCACATATTCTGTCTAACATTTAGAGGAACATCTTCTAATAATTGTGGTAGATTGTGTTGAAGAAAATCTAAATAAATTTCACCAGTCAGTTAAGGTGGAAAAAAGTGGAGTCTAATAAGCATGCCATTTACCACGCCAGCCCAAACATTTAATGAAAATATATGTTGAAAATGAGTTCTTTTTACAGCATGCTGATTTTTACTGCCCAAACATGATTGTTGTGGAAATTGTGCACTCCATTTCATGTAAATATGGCCTCATCTGTACATAAAATTAATCTCGCGTCTGCTGAACTGTTCTAAAAGCCACTGGCAAAATTCAACTTTTCTAGGATGATCTTCAGGTTGTAACGCTTGTATCCGTTGATAATAATAAGGATAATGCTGTTCTTGTCATATTGTCCTCCACCCTTCACTATGAGAAACTCCAACTTGAGTTGCTATGGCTCTAGTACTCATTGTTGGGTCATCCTTGACCATTTATAAAATGTCTTCCTCAATTTGTAACATTCCAGGTCGATCAGGTCTTAAAGCGTGACCTCCTCGTTGTTCTCTTAAATAACCTGTGTCAAAAAGTCTAATAACTCAATTTACAAACGTCCGTGGCGTTGGATGATTTATTAAAGGAAACCTTTCCGCATACAACCTGAATGCTGTGGCTGCATTTTGTTAGCACTCTTCGTGTGTTAGTTCTACTACTAGTTCATTGTTTTCGTAATGATGGACCATTTTTCGCACAAAATAATCGAAAGTGAAAGTATACTCACTATCAAATGACTGATACGACTGATCAAACCAAAGACTCGACTAAAAACTATACAATGACACAAAAAGATTGCCAAATTTAGATAAACGAAAAGAGTGGTAAACAAATTGGTGTGGTAAAATTTTTAATCTTTCACTAATCAAATTCAAGCGGATAACCAAATGGAAATGGTATTTACCATTTTGGGTTGGTATTTACCAATCCGTTCAAGCGAGTGTGGTTATCAGTTTGGTTATAAGATCCGTGACGTCACGAATCAGCTGTTATATGTCATAGTTATCACCGCAAAATTGTGGTATTTACCCAACTCAAGAGTAGTTTTATATTTCTGGTTATTATTTGAAATGTGACAAGCTAGAATTTTGCCGGGTATTGGATATTGTTATTGTACTTCAGCTTCATTTTTGGGAAAAATGATACAGGCTGACTTCAGTTTTACCATAAAGTGGAGCACCTTATTAGTTATACTCATTACGGTTGTTGGGGACACTTTAAATGTAGTTCCTATGCTTAACAAAGTATCCTGTGTATCCATATACCACAAGAATATTAAAATATGGCCATATAAACTCACTAGATGATATCCACCTGTATACGGTTTTGCTAATTTCTTTTTTCATCATTTCTGCTGAATCAATAAATGTTTTCTTTGACATGCGGAAAAATTTAGAGAATTGAAAGTTATCATAGCTACAAAGCCATGGTTCCATCATTAAAAAAAAATCTGAAAAAACATTTCTCCCATGAATATTATGAAAGGTTTCTTATTTAAACTTTCCATATACAGTTGTAGACGAAAAAGCACCGATTATTAAGTCATAATAAAAATAATCAGAGATTATATACGCGCTTTTCTAAGATAAACAACTTGCAACAAAACCGCGGTTAAAACCAACGCGTTCAAGCGATTCGTGTAACTGACGTCATCAACCCGTGTGTCATCTTGAACCATATTATAACCGCGGCACATAATACAGAAATTTTGGTTATTCGCTTGGATTTGATTACTATTTCTTTTATTATGCAACTTTTACGAGGGATGTCTTTTAAGTTTTGCATATAGAAACATAGTAGGCCGCGCGGATCGAACGTCAGTACTGAATCTTAACCTCACTCTTTAGTAAACTTAAATTCAAAGTTTCACAACAATACGCGCAGTGTTCTAACTACAGTGAATTTTTAAGTGTCACCAAGTCATTAGAAAAATGGAACTCAACCGAGAACATTTTCGCGCCATAATTTATTACAACTTTCAGAGACAATTATCGCAACAAGAACCTCCACATCTGTCGACAATTTCCCGTTGGTATGGAGAATTCAAACGTGGACGGGTGAGTCTTAGCGACGATCCCAGGGTGGGTGCACCAAACACGGCAGTCACCCAGGAAAACGTAGATGCTGTGCGCAAACTCATCATTGAAGATAGACATGAGACATATCGCGAGATTAAGGCGTCCTTGAAGATCTTAAGACCTCAATTCAAAAAAAATTACATGAAGAATTAGGAGTAAGAAAATTAGTTTCTCGTTGTATACCCCACCTGTTGACTGAAGAGCGGAGAGCAGCCAGGGTTAATTGGTGTCAAAGAACGCTTGACCGATTCAATTCCGGAAGCTCAAAAAATGTGTACAGCATTGTTAGTGGTGATGAATCGTGGATTTACTGTTATGAACCAGAAAATAAACGACAGTCGGCTGTTTGGGTGTTCCCAGGTGAAGAAAAGCCAACAGAAGTCATCCGTTCTCAAAGTGTTCCGAAAAAGATGGTCGCGACATTTGTGTCAAAAGCGGGTCATATTGCAACAATTTATCACCGAGCTTCGAAAAATCAAACCCGAAAGAAGAATCATCCTCCACCAAGACAATACAGGCTCGCACACAGCCCAAAAAACAAGGCAGTATTTAACGGAAGGAAACGTGGATTTATTGGACCATCCTCCATATAGTCCCGATCTAAGTCCTAACGATTTCTTTACTTTCCCGAAAATTAAAAACAGACTGCGTGGTCAAAGGTTCCAGTCACCCGAAGAAGCAGTTGACGCATTCAAAAATGCCGTTTTGGATCTGCCAGCAAACGAGTGGAATAAATGCTTCGAAAATTCGTTCGAGCTCATGCAGATGTGTATTAATCTTTGTGGAGAATACTTCGAAAAACAATAAAGTCATTTAAAACTACCTACTGTGATGTTTTATTTCCATACGCAAAACTTAAAAGACATCCCTCGTATATAGGTGACTTTTGGTATATCAACTCCGTTTGACAAGTAGTTAAAATGACATGAATATTTTAAGCATCATGGGTGTCAAGTGGAATGACAGATATGTGCGATTTTAAATTTTTTAGCTGTCTAGACATGATCATAGCAAAATCCAGAGTTATACTCCTTTTCAAAAATAGAGTTCTCAGAGTTTTCTTATGCCCTGCACTTACTAGGAGTTTGTATTTTTTTTCTATGAAACAGCATCAATTACGTCATTTTCAGTGATTGTGCGTTGTAAACTGTCGTATTAAACTGTACAGCTTCTTAGATGAAATTAATCTAATCGTACTTCCTATACCACTAGGAGAGGGAGTATTTTAATCGCAAAAAATACTCATCATCATAAATAACCATGTGATTTCTGTCAGCCTATCTGTCTGCTAATCCTTGTCCCATCTCTAACCTGGAAAATACCTGTCAGGATTTAATGAAGTCTTCACACAAGGTTGCTACTATGTCACGGACGAAAAAGCTGTGTAGTATTTGAAAACTTTTGGAGGGTTGTGGGCGGTGGGGAGGCTTTATCTTAATTTTTTATGTTAGTACATCTATACGTTCCCAACCTTTTTAATTCTACGCACCTACATATTAGACATATTTTACACATTATAACTCGTAAAACTCAGAAAAATATTCTCAGCAACGTACGTAATGGCCGCGGCTGAGTAAGCCTACTTGACGCAATTTTTTATCAATGATCGCGAAAGGCATCGTTTTCAAGTACATCCACATATCCTTCCACACTTATTTTCATGAATCATGATGATTTGGACTGGGTTCTTTATTCTTATTTATACATACTGTAAAGAAAAAACTGATTAATATTCCAGTCGCCTTGGATGTTACTCACTTCGATATCATTGACCAGTCAAGTGACCTTTTCTGCAATCCATGTGATCTTTATTTTCTTGAGACGGGACTTTTCGACATTGTCCAATTTAATCAATTTTAATAGTTCATCGCACAGTTTTGTAGGAAGTGTTCGACAAAGACGGACGGACGCCTTGTGACTGTGGTTTGAGTTTTATTGTAGGGAGCAATATGTGTTCTCGATACCTATCTGAACGGAATTCGCTTCAAGCGACTTTTTGCAGCGCTTTCTCTAAAGCTACAGGGAATATCAGCAGGTGTCTAACCCCATCTGTCAAAAATCGTACTATTCGTCATTGTTCGTCAGAGCGGTCCGGTGGACCTTTGCTCTTAGTTAACAGTCTCGTCGGTCTGTTAGTTTGTCAGGTCTGGCTACCCAGATACCAAACATGTTAAAGGGGGAACGGGAAAGAAAGGAAGGAAGAAGTAGAGCAAAGAGAAGAAGAAAATTATTTGAATTATTGGTTTGTATATTGAAATAATTTTGGTTGGTCTGAAGTTCACAATTTAATTTTGACCACAGTGCGAGGCACGGCCTGGAATGTTTGCGAACTTGAACGACTGTGTAGTCTACAGAATCACACAACGGAGAATTGCTGTGCGATTCGGCTTGATTATAACGCCGCTGTGCCTGTTGTTTTACATAATCTCTTAGATATGGGTTATCAAGATCTCTGTGAATAGTCTCATTTGATACACTGGCGTTGGTGATTGTGTGTAGGGTTCTGTTTTGCGGGACTTGCAGTCTCTGCATGTGCGTATTGGCAAGAAAGCACCAAGCCGCGCATGCGTAGGTCATTGCGGGTCTCATGACCATTTTATACAACCGAATCTTGTTGATCAAACTCAACTTTGAATTTCTACAGAACAAAGGATAAATCTGCAGAAACGCAATTTGGAATTTAGTTTTCAAAATATCAGTATGTCTCTGCCAGTTCAACCCATTGTCAATGATGACTCCAAGGTACCTTGTCAGATTATTCTCATGGTATACGAGTTCCATTTACTGATATAACTGATGGGGCACCGTGACGTTTTTTAGTACAATAGATTGCCTGCGTTGTCGAATTATTATATTTTGATCAGCCACCGATCCGCCCACTCCAACACTTCCTCCACTGCATTCTGCAGCCTGACGTAAACCAGATTATCAGAACACGACTGGGCCACTAGTGCAGTGACGTCAGCATAGAGATAGACTGCACAGTTGCTCTGGCAAGGGACGTCATGTATATAAAGTGAATAAAGGAGTGGTATTTAGACCGAACCCTGAGGAATGCCGGCTCGTACGAGCAGTGTTGTTGAGAAAACATTGTTACTTTTGATCCGAAACTTCCTTCTAGAAAAGATTTCAACAGTTTTGTAGCCAAAATGGAAAGCCCTTTTGGATGAGCTTATACAAGAGGCCCAGGTACCACACCTTGTCAAATGCCTTTGTTACATCTAAAAACAAGATACCTGGACTTTTGTTGAGGGTGAACCAACCCCCTGGTTCCACCAGTCTAACTGTCTGTAGCTCCGTTCTAGGCTCTGACCGAAAGCCGAATTGCATGTCAGGAATCACATGGTGATCTGTTGAGGAATGTTCTTGATCTTGTCGATAAATCACCTTTTCAGCGAGCTTAGGAGCTGGCAGCAGGTTAATGGGACGGTAATCCGGGGGTAATATCGGTACCTACCTTCTTGGAGACCATTATGATTTCAGCAATATTCCACGCCTGAGGAAAGTACTGAGTCTGTGCATTACATTGATTATGGCTATCAGATAAGCCAAAGCCTTCAGCGAAAGCAACTTCTATGCTTTGTTGGTGATTTGATCCTCTCTGATGTGCAAAACGCAATCACAGAGGGTTCCGCTGATGTGCTATCCAGAGATTCATCTGAAGAGTCTTCCGTGGAAGAATATCCTGAAAAGGAATTAGCGATGTTAGCATTGATGTTATTGTCGCCATTTGCTCCGAAATATCTACTGACAAATCTTACAGTTTGTCGTTCCTCGTCAAGATCATTGTCCATATCATAATTGGGAGTGAACTGCCTTTCCATGATATCAGCAAAAACCTCCACTTTATCCTCTGTCCTGAAAACTAAGCCTCTAGGACCATGAATATGTGGTAGTTGTTCTTGCCTTCCGTTTCTGAGCGACTTTGCCACGTGCCATAGCAGTGCGGAAGCGATTTTCGACTATGACGCACGACCACCGACGACGACGCTTGTCCATCGGGGGACCACGTCGCACGTATCGACACCTGACTAGATGTTTCCGGGTTTTAAGGGTAAATGTAAGGGGATGAGTGAAATATGCCTAATATGTGAGTAGCATTACTGAGGTCGTCAAAAAATTGAGAGATACTCTCCCTCAACTCCTGTAACCCTTAACCTCTAATTTTCAACCTCTACTCAAATTTTTCCGAAAATGATCAGGATCGTCTGAAACGTCAGAAAACGAAGATAGAGAGATTTTTATTTTTTAGTTTTTTGGCCTTTTCTCTGCCACCACTGGACCGATTTTCAAAAACTACAAAGCGTTTTTGTCCTTGGGACAGTAGTAACATTGTGAGAAAATGTCATCAAAATCCGAGCGGTTTTTTCCAAGTTATTGAGGGGTCAAGGAAAAGCGGACAGACAGACAGAGACCAACGAATATGAGCCTCATGATTTTTCGTGATCTACAGGGTGGGCCATTGAGTTGAGCGGGTTTTAAAAAATCATAGAAAAACTACAAAGCGTAGGGAAGATAATTTATATTTTTAATAAAGTAGACACATGGGAATTTAATTTTTTTAAAATAACATCATTGAGATGCGAGCCATCGAGACTTACGCATTTCTCAAATCTCGACTTCAAATTCGTGAAAACTCGCTTGCATATCGTTCATCAGAAAAGAGAATATTGTTGGAAAGCGCTCTAACTTCTCACAGATTCCTCTGTTCGTATTGACCTTGGACGCCCCGCAGGTTTCTGAATAAGTGTCGAACTGGTAGGCTCGAACTTTCTGACCCACGACCTGATCACACTTTCCATTTATGTAATAAGCCTTAACATAGAACGCACGATGCTCACCGCTGAAACGCTCCATGGCGACTAAATTTCCGAGCACCAAGCTACTAAATTCGTAGGTCTTTCTCGTCCACCCTGTACATGTCATATAACATCCAAAACACAATAATATCGTATTTTTTCCCCTGTAGGCTTGGGAAGTAAAATGGATACCCTGCTTTACATGAATTATTCCTAATTTCAAAAATGAGTATGAAAATAATAAAATGACTAAAAAGGAGTTGTAGAAAAAAATTGATGTGTTTGGTGTTGGATTGTTCCTTGAACATTGAAATTTGCATCTGCCTACCATATATGAGCCTGCGTCATAATGTTAATTTCATAAGTGTTTTTTTGAAAGTATGTGTCTTCCAAATCAGTCATTCAGCTATTCAGCCAAACATTTCTGTTTAGAATGAACTTTTCTGTAATAAAGTCAAAACTGTTTTTGGATGCTACCTGTCCAATATGGCGACGTGAGCGGAAGTGGTCATCGTGGAAATTTGCAAAGATCGCCTTAAAACTTATTCAGGACGTCAATAAATTTTCTACGTACATATTTCCATTTTTGACCAACAGACATGCGAACCTGCGCTTACCTTGGTTTTCTGTGTTGTTTCTCAAATAGCTGCTTTTCTTGACGTTCATTTCAGTGTGTGGAACTAGCCAGTGTAATAAAAAAATAATTACTGCACATCACATACAATTAAAAATTCATTATTTCATATAATCGAAACAAAAGAATATTTAATAAAATATGATTGATATACATGATA